GGTGGCAGCTCGGATGGTGCGTGCTCCGTGGGGCTGGCTGGAGCCCCCACCCCTGGGCCCACACTGGACACGACTGGGAAGGAATCTTTGGAAGGTGGATGCTTCAAAGCTGCAACAACTGTGACCATGGGAGGGCAGTGTTCGATCACATCCTGCTTGGTCTAAGGGACAATTTTCCTAGCACTGAAGAAAGTAAATCTTTTAAGGAACGGGGGTGTTTAAGATAACAGTCTAAGCGTGGAAAAGAAAAAGCTATATCAGTCTGGACTTGAAATTGATCTCTCCAAGGCAGTCATCTCATCGCCTAGCTCCTCTCTCCTCTCACTCCAGCCGCTATATAGCTGACACCGCTGTAAAGTTGGAGAATTATGTCTCCCTTCTCTCCTGGCACAGAGTTGTTCATAACCTTAGATACTCTCTCAGGGCCTTTGGTGGTCTCAGGAAGAATGATCTAGAACCTGGTTAGAGATATCGCAGCCTGTGTAGCCTGCGGCCAGCCCACCTTCGTCTCCACGGCCCTCCCTGGGGGCTGCAAGGTAGGGCCCAGGGACTGCTCTGCACCGGTCTTCTCAGGTCCAGCTATCGCCTGCTCTGCAGCTGCTGCCGGCCTCATCGACCGTTCTGCTGGGATACTAAGCACTTTGGGCTAGGCTGGGGGATGGTTAATCAACAGCCTTGTCAGAGTGATGGATTCTTCTAGGATTATTGCTTAATTAGCTTGTTTAGAGGTAAAAATCAACTAGGACATCAGTTCTCTGGGAGCTGGAAGGGAGGAGGGAGCTAGGAGCTGGTGGGAGGGGATCAAGATGTTCTCTCCTTTCCCACGATGGAACATCTCCTGCCTCATTGCCCAGGAGGTTCCAGGCTGGTGCCGAATCTCTCAGGTGACCTGCTCTGTGACCTTGGGATTTCCAGAACCTGACCCTGAGGAGGACCCAGCCTAGGCTCCTCGAAGGCGGCTTTGACTACATCTCCAGCAGGACAACTGTCATTTGTATCACAATCCTGGGGACAGCACAGCCCGTTGGAATGAGAGCAGGTTCCTGACTGATCCCTGGGAGCCTGTCCTAGAGGAAGACACAGATGCTCAAACGCAGGAGGCCCAGGGAGAGTAGAGAAGCTTTTCCTTCCTTTGGGTGACTGCAGAGACCCAGCCCCATTCCCATAAACACTGCTCAGGGCCATCAGCAGGGGGAGCACATGTACCACCTGCTGGCCAGGCCGGACCAGCTCCATGACGCCCCGGCCCCGCAATGAACGGGACCTTCCCGAGGCAGCTACCGGCCTACTCTGCCTGCCTGAGTGCAGCCCGCAGCCTATTTGGCACCTGAGTGTCCACAGCAAAGTGGAGAGAAGTTGGGGAGCAGGTGTTCCTCCGGCCGCCCCGGGGCAGGTTGGAAGAGCTGGGACCAGAGGCAGCTGGACCAGCAGCTCTGTCCTCTGTCCCAGCTGAGCTGCGGTCAGCTGGCTGTGCTCCTGTAGGAGAGGGGCTTTCTCACGGGTACCTTTCTTGGATTAAGACGACATTCTTGTATAAATATTGTTCTACAACTGTAATCGGTCACCCTTCCTGCCCATGTGGTAAAGCAGCCTGGACGCCTCTCTGGAGTCTCAGGCTATTTACTAGGTTGCTGATTTATTTTTCATAAAAATCCAGCCCAAGTACGTAATTTAAAAATTCAGCTGGTGTGACAAGGCAGCCCCGGTCCATTCCTGTCCTAAGTCCTCTGTGGGAACTCTTCTTCTGGTGCGGCCTCCACATTTCGAAGTGATACCTCCCCTGGCTCAGCAGCGTGAACGCCCATTGACTTAGGGCACAAGGTGGGCCCGGGGCTCCCAGCCCGCCCTCTCACCTGCACCTTCGCTCCCCGCATTCTCTAACAGATTTACGCCACATTTTTTGTTAAATCAATATTCCATTTTTACTTTATTACAATTATGGATGTACTGTTGACTGCTGAGTGAAGAAATACTCCGAGATCACATTGCCTGCCTTCTAGAATTCTCTGTTCTTCCAGGAATTAATAATGACCTCATTGTAAAAATACGCTTAGTCTATGCTATTATCCTAATAATTCTTCCAAACTCTCCAGCCGAATTTCAAAGTCCTTCTGAACACCATTTTCCCCATGATTATGTGATTGGATAAAACTACTGCCTCCCCCCCCCGCCGCCCAAGGGCACTTTCCTGCTCCCCCCAGACCTCTCGCTCTCTTGTTCAGCTGCACCGCGCTGGCCCTTGGACAGCTAGGTCCCCTTTCTCCTGGGCTCTGACGTGCTCCTCCTTGGTTTATGCCCCTGGAGTGTCCAGGTCATTTTCCTGGGTGGACACATTTCTCTCTAAAAGCCAGCTCTGGAAGGCTGCACATCCTGAGTCTGAAAGGTGCCTGGTCATCAACGGGTGTTTGTTTTCCAAAGGAGGTGGGCAGTTTTCACCCCACCAGAGGCGAGTCCAGGCTCCCCTCTCTCGAAAAGGGTTCCTTTGGTCTGAAGGATGGAGAGATGGATTTATCAGGATAGAAGCAAACCCGCTCTGGTGACACCGTTGTTGGGTTGCTGGTAAATCTGCAGGATCAGGGCTACTGCGGCCACATTTCACCTCCACGCAGAATAGGAGAAGCTGGCCCATTGCTCCAACACTTTATTTCTGTGTAGTGGGGAACTTATAAATACCAACTTTGTTAGAATAAGACCCTGTACTGCCGCGTTGGCAGGAGGTCAGTATGAATGTAGACGACATTAGCCAGACAAACTCTCAGCAGGGTGTGAGCTGCAGTGTATTCAGTCTCTAGACTGAAATCAGTTAAGATCAACCTAGTCTCAAATGTCCAAGGACCATATATCGGTGCTCTGACTACTATCATTTTTAAAACATGAACTTGATATCTTTTAAGATTTTTAACATAAACATTGCCCACATGTGGCGATGGAGGTAGATGGTTTGTTAAAAAGAAACAGGTATGATGGGAGTGGAGGAAGAGGCGTTGTCTGGCTGCACATTTATCTCCTAACTTCCCTAACTTACAGGCAGACGCGGCAGATGGGCTGAAGATGAGGGGACAGGAGTGTGCTCACAGCGGCCCTACCCTGCAGCCTGCCTGGTGCCCACGGGCAGATAGGAGCTTGTTACACACAGTTTGTGGGGAGGGACCTGGAAGGAAAGTAGACTGGTGGCTTCGGCAGCCCCAGGCTCTGGGCAGAAGCTCACGTAGCTCATGGGACAAGGCCGCCCCGTGTCCAGTGGCTGCTCCATCGCATCGAGGACCAGAGGAGCGAGGAGAGGGAGTGCTCCTCTGGACTGAGTCCTGGCCAACAGCGGAAGTCTCTTTCCTAACCTGGGCGTGGGGAAAATCCTGGAAGAAAGCGACTTTGACTCTGTAGCATCGAAGTAAAGGAATGTCGGGCAGAGTTAAAACATGCTCTGGACTTAGGCAAGCAGGTTTCAGAGAAGATCAGGAAGCTCGACAATAGCCTTTATGATAGAATATTGATCATGATGTATGAGAGATTATAACAAGATAATGTTAACTGTGTGCTCTTCAGTAATCCCAATGGGAAAGGGGGATAGCTGAAATATTAAGAAGACTTGGGTTTAAGACAATATTTACAAAGGTTGGGATGAGAACAAGACCGAGGAAGAGGGAAATCTGAAGGGACAAGTCCTTTCAGTCACCGGGGAAATTGTTACTGAATGTCTTCTCCATGCCACACACTTTGCTACGCACTGACGAGATAGGAGCAAATAAGACCCGCCCAGCCTGACAGTGTGGCAGGGGATGCAGATGTCAGCAAGCAATTAAAAGTGTTTGACTCAGCAAACTACAAACAGAGGCAACTTCCTCAGCTTGACTGATGGTGTAACAAAAACCCCAAAGCTAACATCACACTTATTGGTGAAAGGCTGCGTATTTTCCCCCAACATCAGGAACAAAAGAATGTCTGCCTTCTCCACCTCTATTCAGCATTGTGCCAGACGTTCCAGGCAGGACATTAGACAAGAAAAATAAATCGAAGCCATCCAGACTGGGATGGGAGAAATAGAACTCTCCATCGGCAGATAACATAATTTTATATATATAAAATCCTAAGGAATCCCCTAAAAACTATTAGAACTAAAAAATGAGTTCAGCAAGGTGGCAAAATATAAGATCAATATATGCAAATCATTTTTATTTTTATACATTAGCGACAAACAATCTGAAAATAAAATTACAATAGCATCATAAAGAATACAACACTTAGGAATAAATTTCACAAAGAAACTGCAGGACTTCTACACTATCAAAACCAAAACATTTTTGAAGCAAATTAAAGAATATCTTAAAAAAACACCAAGAGACATCTCATGTTAATGGATCAGAAAATCATATAGTGCAATGATGACAATACTCCCAAATTGATTTGCAGATTTACGCAACTGCTATCAAAATCCCAGCTGCCTTTTTTTCCTGCAGAATTTACCAAGCTGATCCTAAAATTTATATGTAAATTCAAGGAACCCAGAATCACCAAAACAATCTTGAAAAAGAAAACCAGGCTGGAGGACTCACACTTCCTGATTTCAAAATTTACTATAAAACTACAGTAATCAGCACACTATGTTACTGGCATAAGGGTAGGCATAGATCAGTGGAATAGAATTTAAAGTACAGAAATAAATCTTTACATTATGATAAATTGATTTTTGGAGAGGGTGCCCAGTCAATAAAATGCAACAAAAAGAATAGTCTTTTCCATGGACGTGGACACCTGGATACACACATGCAGAAGAATAAAGTTGGGATCCCTACATCACACCATATACAAAAGTTACGTCAAAATGGATCAACGATCTAAATGTAAGAGTTAAACTATAAAAAAATTTTAGGACAAAACCATAGGAGTAAATATTCATGATCTTGGGTTAGGAAATGATTTCTTAGATATAACGCCTAAAGTGTAAGTGACAAAAGAAAAATCAGATAATTTGGACTTCATCAAAATTTTAAAAACTCATGTTCTGTAATCAATATCATCAAGAAACTTAAAAAAGGCAACATGAGGTTGAGAAAATAATAAAACCTGAAAGGAAATGTAAGTAATGTTGGTGTGGGGGGAGTAGAGTGCAGGAAGGAGGAGAGACATAAGGTATATTGAGGTAGGTGGGCAGGGCCAGGTGGTGCCGACCACATACACGACTTCCTACTTCTCCTGTATATCAGTCAGAAGACATTGAAGGATTTTAACCTGGGGGGTGCAGCGACTGGGTCTGAATTTTTTAAAGTGTGCTCAGACTGCAGGACATTGAGTTGAGGGATAGGGGTGGACATAGGAAAATCAGATAGGAAGCCAATGCAAAAGTCAGGGAGAGAGATGATGTCTAAGAAATCCAAACTGAAGTAATTTTAGGAGAAAGCGGGAGGTAGAGATGTGGAGACAATTAGCTCCTGATGAATTTTTGTTGTAAAGGGGGGAGAGAGATGGGGTTGTAGCTGGAAGGGAATTTGAGATGGAGGAAATTTAAAAGGGAAGCATGTGTAAATGGGAATTAGAAGGCTTCAGAAGAAAGAGAGAGAGGTTTGGCGTTCAGAAGTCAGAGGAGAGAATTCGCTCAATCAAGCGCTTGCGAAGGTGGAAGGCAATTAGATCCAGGATATCCTCAGAGGGATATCCCCTCTAGCATAACAGGAAGGAGGTGGGAGACGATTACAGATGAAAGTGGGTTTGTAGACGTGGAGGCAGAACTTACTCATCCTCCTGCCTCCAGTTCTGCAAAGCAACCCATGAGCCAAGAGCGAGTGGATATGCTTTAATAATGTGAAGGCAGAGGGCGGTGATTAATGAGGAAGTCGGGGGAGCACTCTTAGGATGACGGCAGGCATTACTGCAGGAGACTGAAACACACACAGCCGTGCAACTTATGTTATACTTCCTTCTGACATAATCTTAAGGAACAAGAAGTGTAGGGAAATTAGTTCAGAGGGAATTGAGACCCTTTATAGGAGAAAGGGTAATGACAGTCCCAATATTTCAAAAGTTCAAGCTTTAGGTCCCATATGCAAAATTAGCTTAACAACGCAATGGAAGAGTGATCCCTGACATTAGAAATCATGCAGACTGAAATAGGAATCAGGCAGATTGGAAATGATCAAATGTTCTACTTTTAAAAAGGAACGAAAGGGGAGTTCGAGAAAATATAGTTGAATCTAATTAACTGAAATCTCTGCAGTGTTTGTTGACTTGTGTTCATTAGGAGGCACCAAGTGTTCAGGAAATATTTATGCTAAAATACTATTTCTTTATGGAGACCATGTCTGTGTCCTGATTTCAAGGCACATAATTGGGAGATTGAATAAATGCTGCTTATAAAAATAATAGGACCTCAGAATGTGTTGATCACAGGACTGCTGCCTAGGAGACTGTGTACTCCAAAGGGTCACTGGCATATAGAGAATGGTCACCAATGGGTCCTAGATGAGAACTACCAGGGATAAATAAAGAAGAGAGCTTTTGGATTAGGCAGCAAAGCTATTCTCAAGTATTTGAAGGTCTGGCAGGTCCAGTCTTTTTTTTCTACAGTGGTCCAGATAATAGAGCTAGAAGTATGAAGAGAACGTTCCAGGGATGTAGATTGCTGCCTCTAGATAAAGAATACCTAACATCTGAAGATGTCCAACAAAGGAAGCACAAAATATTGAGCTCCTGGAAGATTCTAGAAGACTTGGCAGGGGCTTCTGATACAGCAAGGTGGGGTGGAGATATGTATCTGTAGGGTATGTTCCCTGAAAAGTAAATATGTAGAAGAAATGTTACATGGGCACCAATTCTTCAGCACACTAATGCTAGAGTTATAGATGCTGGTGTCTACAGATGTCTGTGATGCATCCAAAGCTACACAGTGAGGCAATGGTAGAGCTGGGACTGGACCCAACTTTCACTTCTCCAAGGTCTGATAATTTCTGTTGCTTTACACATTAACGTTTCCTGTGATGAGTGATTTCCTTTCTTCTTTGGAACTTCAGGTAAGAATTCTAGAATAGAACTAGACCCCTATTTTTTAGCATAAACAAAAATCAACTCTAATTAGACTTGAAGATAAGAGCTTAAGCCATAAAACTCCTAGAAGAAAATATAGGGGGTAATCTCCCCGACATTGATTTTGACAATGAGTTGCTGGGTTTCACACCAAAAGCAAAAGCAACAAAAGGAAAAATAAACAAATGAGACAACATCAAACTAAAAAACTTCTGCCAGGCAAAGGAAATCATCAAAAATGAAAAGGCAACCTACTGAATTGGAAAAAATATTTGCAAACCAAATATCGATAAGGGGTTAATATCCAAAATATACAAAAAACTCATACAACTCAGTAAAAAAAAAATTTGATTTAAAGGTGGGCAGAAAATCTGAATAGATATTTTTCCAAAGAAGACATACAAATGACCAACAGGAACATGAAAAGTTGCTCAACATCACTAATCATCTGGGAAATGCAAATCAAAACCACAATAAGATTATAACCTCACATCTGTTGGAATAGCTATTATAAAAAAGACAAGAGGTAAGTGTTGTGGAGGATGTTGTGGAGAAAAGGGAACCCTTGTACACTGTTGGTAGAAATGTAAATTGGTGCAGCCACCATGGAAAACAGTTTGGAGTTTCCTCAAAAAATTAAAACTACAACTACCATATGATTCAGCGATCCACATCTGGATATTTATCAAAAGGGAACAAAAACAATAATTTGAAAAGATATCTGTACCCCTGTGTTCACTATAGCATTATTTACATGCCAAGATATGGGAACAACTTAAGTGTCCATCAATGGATGAATGGATTAAAAAATGTGGTGTATACAATGGAATATTATTCAGCCATAAAAAAGAAGGCAATGCTGCCATTTTTGAAAACAGGGATGGACCTTGAGGGCATTATGCTAAGTAAAATAAGTCAGACAGAGGAAGACAAATACCATATGATTTCACTTATATGTGGAATATAAAAAAACAACAACCCCCAAACCAAAAGAAAACTGAACTCATAGATACAGAGGACAGATTGGTGGTTTCCAGTGGTGGGAGCTGGGGGGTGGGCAAAATGGGTGACTGTGATCAAAAGATAGAAACTTCCAGTTCTCAGATAAATAAGTCCTGGGGATGTAGAACGTAGTGGCTATAGTTGACAATACTTTGTATATTTGAAAGTTGCTAAGAAAGTAAATCATGAAAGTTCTCATCATAAGAAAAAAAGTTGTAACTATGTGTGGTGACAGATGTTCACTAAACTTATTGTGGTGATCATTTCACAATATATATATATCAAATCACTGTTGCATACCTAAAACTAACACAATGTTAAATGTCAATTATATCTCAATAAAAAAATTAATTTTAAAAACAATTCTAAACCCCTCAAGCCTGACTTTCAGGCCAGTCCCTTTCATGAATGCCCCCTGGTCTCCATTGCTTGGAGGATATCTGCAGCATTGGCCTTAAAACTCAGGGCCTGCCTTGGCTCACAGAGATAAGGGCTCCATAACCTCTTGGGGGGCTGCTCCCAGGAAGACAATCTTGTGTATAGGTGAAGGGGAACTGTGCCCCTGGGAAGAAATGATTCCAATATTTCCATGTCTCACCTGGACTCCGGGGTCTGCTCCATTCCTTGCCTCAGCTGTACATGACCAGGTTCATCCACTAAGAAATAAGCATTATCATTACAACCAGTCTTTAAACTTATTAGCTTAACACAGATCAGGGCAAATGGTACCCTCCTCCCTTGAAAGATCTCAGTCTAGTCTCAGCAACCCTTTCTGGTTAATTCCAACTCAAGCAGGAGGTCCCAGCCCCCTGTCACAACATATCTTTTGCTACTCCCAGCACAACCAGGCAGTGGGAGGGATAGAGGTCGACCAGCTGGCTGGGCCGGGAGGCTCGCTCTAAACTCAATGGGAGTAAGTTTAATGTACAGTGTGCTCAGCAGGTGTTCTTCAGTTCCCACGTGGATTTATGACTCCCACATAATCCTCTGCTTTATTAAGCTATCGGGAAAAAAATAAAATCTCTCTGCCAAGATCCTAAAGCAGCCTTGGCAGCCAGCAATATATAAAGGCAGTAATTGGAGGCAGGGGGGCCAGCAGCTTGGCTGGCCTCTGACAGACTGCTCGATAGATATCCTCAGGGGGAAACTGCCCCCTGGAATCAAGGGAGGGCAGAGGGCTGGGCTGGGCCCCATCTCGAGGGGCAAGGCGGCTCACCTCCATTTCTGTCAGGTAGAGTCCTTTTCCATCCTTGGAGAGGTTCTGGAAGACCTCTAAGGTAGAGAGGAGGAGAGGAATCAGCACAGGCCAATACAAAAGCCAAAGCCTCGGTGTAAAGTACTCTCCCTCTCCACGGGGGTGCTCGCCTGGTGTCTTCTCTTTCCAGCCAAACTCTGCACCTTGGGACAGCTCGGGGCTCAAGTCTTCAAATCAGTGCTCCAACTGCTCTTCCTCTTTGTCTCCCTGCACTGGGCATCTCCATACTTGGCCGTGGGAGATGTGGGCTTGTCTTAGGAAGTATTTCAGGGGCACGGTTTGGGGAATCTCCCTCGTCCAACTGAGGACTCCCTGGAGCAAGGTTTATGCCTCAGGCTCCTCATTCTCGAAATCTTAATTCCAAGCAATCTTAATGCCAATGGCCTAGCTCAGAGCAGTAGGGGTTACGGAGATGCCACGAGGCAAGGATGGTATAAGGATTAGAGCAGAGGCCAGAGCCCACTGCTCCCTCAACCGTAGCAGCTCCACTTTGAGCTATTTTATAGCTTGGGGTTTCACACAAGATTGCATTTACAACAAAGGGGTATGCTGCTAAAAAGTGTCAAGCCTCTGGCCTACATAGCTGAGTTTCTGAAGCCTGGGGAAAGACCTCCTGCCCCCAGCCATTCGCTGGTGTGTGCAATTCCTTCAGCAGAGACCCAGGTCATTCGCTCCATGACTAAAGAGTGGGTTGAAACTATAAACACAATCTGGAGAGGGACTCCGTGATTCAGCCTTGACCCTGAAAGAAGCTCTGAATAAACAGGATGAAGAGAGATGAGAGCCCTGGGACAGGGGGATCTCCTGAGGAGAAAAGTGTGCAGGAGAGGGGCTGGGGACACAAGCCAACAACACCACTATACAGGCCAATGTTGGTTCTATCTCTTGGGGCAACAGTTCCTCGGGCAGAATCCAGGCCACCCACTCCCCAGGCTGAGGCAGGAGTGCATCCCTGGTCCTCTCCTGTGTTCTTGGTCACTGTGAAGGTCTCCGGGATGTCCCCCAGGTGACACTTACTTGCCATGGCTTCCAGACGCATCAGAAAGCAGACCAGGCTGGGGAAGCTGACCCTGCCGGCTCTGTCGCTGTACCTGAGAGCCATGAGATCCAGCAGCTCACTGCTGACGGAGACCCCTGCAAGGAAGTCTGGGCCACAGGGAAGCCAGTGAGGAGGGAGGAGGCTGGGGGTGGGGCTGGTCTTCTGCCTCACAAGGCCTGTAAACCTGCTCAGAGGGCCCAGTGACCTCCCACCATTTCCTACCCAGCCTGGCTCGGTGGCCAGTCTCCTCCTCCTTTTTAGTGTTTTTTATGATCCTCTAGTTGCCTCTTTCTTGGTGGCAGCTGGGCCCCAACAACACTGTTCTGGAGTTTGGCCAGAGGCGAACTCAAGGTCCTCAGGACCCTGACTGCTCTGGGGATGCCTCAGCCTTCATAATCATCTGATAATCCCCATGTGAGATGGGAGCTGCCAGAACACCTTGGGTTTGCTCCCAACCCTGCCGCTAACCTCTCTCTGCCAGTGACCTTGTAAAACCACCTTCCTCCCTTACCCATAACTACATGTGGGTCTCAGTGGGTATTGCTAGAGCGGGTCAGTGTGGTTCCTGAAAGAGGGAGATTCAGTCCTAAATCGATGATCCAGGGAAGAGACTGGTCCTCAGAGGGGAGACCACAACTTAGGAGGTAGCCTCAGGTGGGCAGGACAGAGGTGCCTTGTCCTTGGGTCTTGTCATCTTTAAAAATTTTTTTTAATTGATTTTTACAGAGAAAGAGAGAAACATCGATGTGACATAAATTGGCTGCCTCTTGCATGCAATGGGAATTGAACCAGCAACCTTTTAGTGCACAGGATGAAGCTCAACCAACTGAGCCACACCAGCCAGGGCTGGGTCTTGTCATCTTGCATGTCTAGTAATGAACTCCAAGGAGGTACCAACCACAGAGCTGACCTTCGAGCTCTGGTGAGCAAGTGAAAACCTATGAGCCAGCCCATCTATCAAGGGGATGAGCCCAGTTGTCTGTAGGCCCCACATAGCCAGAGCCTGTTTCTCCCACAGAGTTAATAAAACGTGGGTTTGGATGCCTATAAACAGGGCACGCACTCTCCGGCTGGACACACTCTGGCCCCCAAAGGCTGAGTCGAATTCCAACTATTCTCTTTCCTTCTTCCTTTTATTACTCTGGAGTAATTGGTGAGGTCCCTTAAAGATTTCATCTTTTCTGGCTCTTCAGAGATTCTCAAAGTGTCATCCCCAGACCAGGAGCTTGGCCTCACCTGGGAACTTGTTAGAAAAGTTCCCACCCTGGCCTTCCTGAATCAGAACCTTTGGGTGGGTGGTGAGCCCTTCCAGTCTCTGTTTTAACAAGTTCTCCAACTTGATGCACACCCAAGTTTGAGAACCCCAGCTCTCTGCTAGAAAGAACCAAGGGGCCCGGCCGGGCGTGGCTCAGCAGTTGAGCGTCAACCCAGGATCCAGGCGATCGGGGTTCAATTCCCGGTCAGGGCATATGCCCAGGTTGCAGGCTCAGGGACCTGCAGGAGGCAGCCGATTAATGACTCTCATCATTGGTGTTTCTATCTCTCTATCCCTCTCCTTTCCTCTCTATGAAATCAATAAAGATATGTTTAAAAAAAAAAAAAAAGAAAGAACCAAGGGGAGGAGATGCTAAAGTGGGCAGAAGCAGCCCACGTTTCCACCCTCTCTCCAGGCCAGGAACCGAGGCAGGGAACTATGAAGACTTGTAACCTGGGAGAATCCAATTTCATGTTTTACTAAGGAAGGTGCAGTCTCCCAAGTTAACCTTTTTGTGATCTATTTCCCTGTGGGACAGTGGAGATAATGGCTCTTGCCCTTCACAGTGCCAGAGTCTTGGAGACAGTTGAATGAGATGACCTGAGTACAGTCCTTGCTGAATTACAACACACTCCTGCACCCTAAGGTACTCCTGTCATTAGCCCAGGGCTGGAAGCTCTTGCCTCCCTGAGGCAGAGATGGAGTTGATTTCATTCACCCCACACCCTCTGTGGAGAGGCATTAGCCTGCCTGTGGGTGTTTAACCCTGATCGCCCAGATGGAAGCATCTCCAAGGGGGGCTTGGTTTCTGGTAGGGTTTCAATCACGTGGCATTACTTTCTCACAATTAGAGATGTGTTGGGGAGAAAGGAAATTAGTACGTGAGCACTCAGGCGAAGGAAGACAGAGTCTGAGCCCAGAGCCTGGAGGCCCACAGAGGCCGGGGCAAAGCAGGGGAGTACAGGAAGCCGCAGCTCTGCTGGGTCCTGACCGCCTGCACCACCGCACCAGCCTTGCCTACAGCACACTAGGGGTGTGGACACACACACATACACCCCCCACACCACCCTCCATCATCGCGGCTCAAAGGGCCCCTGTCTTACCTGTATCCCGTACGGCCCTCCACAAATCCAAGCTCAGGAAAACGCCAGAGCTCCTCCGGGAGTTCTGGAAAACACTCTGATACAGGAAAGAAGCAAGAAGGCCTTGTGAGTCCCAGTGCCCGCCTTGAAGAGGATGCCCTTGGGTAGAGGCAGGGCCCGGGCATCCCTTTTCCATCCCTGGAGGCTCTTTCACTAAAACTCCAGTGGGCCCAGCTCAGAGGCAGCCCCGCTGAGGCCGGAGGTCGGGGAGACAGGGGTGGGCTCCGACCTCTAGCTGTGGGGCTGGGAGCTCCTCTCCTTCCCACCTTCCCCCTCAACCTGCTCTCTCCTCTCCCTCACCACCTCCACTGGGCTCCTGACACTCAGGCAGCTCTGCTCTGCTCTGCTCTCCGGGGAGGGGCAGAGCTCTCTGAAGAGTTTGCACAGGGTCGCCCTTAAGACTTTACAACCAAATTGCCGGGTTTACTGCCAGCTGTGTCACCTTGGGCAAATTACTCAGTCTCTCCAGGCCTGTTTCCCCATCTGTAGCACAGGGCGAGTCACCTGGCTCCTTGGCTAGTTGCAGGGAGTAAATGAGCAGGTATTTACAAAGTGCTGGGGAGAGAGCCTTGCACAATAGTGTCAGAAACAGGGGGAGGGCTGTGTCCAGGACCGAGCACTGTCCAACAGCACCACAGCAACCCCAACACCTCAGCTTTGTACACGGTGGCTTCCCCTTACCCGGCGCTTTTCTGCCTCTCCCTGATGGGCACAATAACCCCGATTGTCGGCATACTTGGGAGGTGAGGAAACCGAGGCTCAGGCAGGGGAGTGACTGCCGTGGATTGAACACGCACGCCTCGTGGAGCTGACGGCGGGACTCCGATTTTGGCCTGTGCACAGTTGCCCACAGCAGCTGCTCCAAGGCCAAGCAGCCCCCAGCCGATGTGCGACAGAGGCGGACTTCAGGGACGATTGTTGTGAAATAGCAGCTTAAGCGCCCTTTCTGGCCTCGGCTGGCTTTTGGGGGGTGTAACCACCATGCATAGAGTGTTCTCAACGAGGCAGTCCCTCGTTCACGCAGTAATTCTTTACTTCAGTCCTTTGTTCAGCGTTTTGAGCAACTGCTGCGTATTAGGCACTAAGGAAGCGCTGGGGAAGGAAGATGGCTATGAGGGAGCCCCTGCCCTGGAGGACCCCACAATCTAATGGGGGGGCACGTCAGCCACCGCAGTGCCCTGTGAGAAACCAACTGACCCCAAGCCAGGGATTAGGTGGTGCCTCCTGGGATAGCCACACGCAGGAACTTTATTTCCCTGTTGTGAGTTCACGTGTTAGGGGCTGACAGGAGAACTCTACGGGCCTTGGGGCCCAGCAAGGCCCCAGGGGAGGGCCTTCAGGGCAGGTGTGTTTGAGTCAGACTCCCAGGGTGGTGGGCGCTGGCCAGCTGGGGGTGCGGGGAGGGAATACGAGGAGCCTGGTAGTTGGGCTCTGCAGGAGCGCCTGGGATGCGCGGAAGGGCCTCCCCTGGACCCTAAAGGAGGGTCGCAACTCGGAGGACCTCCTGCACAGCTCTGAGGAGGCCACATCTCTGGTTCTGACATATCTTACAGCACGTGGAGGGAAAGGGACTGTGGCGAACTAGCAGCCTGGGGACGTGGCCGTGGGCCAGGGCAGGAACGAGGCGGGCAAGGCCAGACGCTGGTTTTGGCCACAGTCCACGGTGATCCCTTTCACCTCCAGCCTCCGAGGGTGTTCCTCATCCTGCCACGCGCTGGGCATTGCCTTCTGGGGGCGCACGTACGTCTCCCCAAACACAACTAGAGTTCTCCTTGAGGGCCCGGGTGAGGCTCCTTTTCTTTCCTGCCCCTCAACCCTGGTGCAGGAGGGGCACCCGGTAATCTGCTAAACGGGATGGAACACGAGTGCTAGTCCAGAGCAAACACCCCGTACCTGGCATCGGACAAGACGGCTCCACAGCCTCGGAAACTCCTCGTGGTCGAGCTGCCCATTCACTTTCAGCTGCCAGGAGTTAAGGGTTAACCAGTCCAGCGCGCAGTGAGCGGAGGGCCCCAGGTCCCACCGATGAGCCCTCCATCCATCAACTAGTGACACGCTGGTCCAACATTACCCGGCTGGAGGCCTGGCCTCACGCCAGCGGGCTCCTGCTGCGTCTGAAAGGGACTGGCTTAGATTTATTTTACAAGGGAAAATGGAGAACTGGAAGGAGAGAAAGCCCTGCGGGGGGGTGGGGGGGGCAAAATCTCTTGCATCCAGGGGAAGAGATTGAACCCAAAACACAGCCTACACCAGCTGGAGTGGGAGGAGCCTGAGGGGATCCTGGCAACTCCTGAAGAAGCATGAGACGCGAACGTGGGCCAGGCGTGCACGTGAGCGGAAGGAAGGCGTTTCTGCGTGTTAAAGCAGCCCTAGCCCTAGCCCTAGCCCTAGCCCTGCTCCAGTGGTTGAGCTTTGTCCCATGTACCAAAAGGTCACTGTGGTTCGATTCCCAGCCAGGGCACATGCAGGGCATATGCCCAGGTTTCGGGCTCGATCCCCAGTAGGGGGCATGCAGCAGGCAGCCGATTGATGTTTCTCTCCCTCTCCCTTCCTCTCTTTCTCTCCAAAATCAATAAAAACATATATTTTTAAAAAGTCAGCCCTAGTCATTGCATGCGATGGGTTTCCTGAGAAATAATGAGAAGAGAATGGATCTCTGAGGACCTGGAGTGTGAGTAGCAGGAAGGGTAGAAAGACCTGTCTGCTTTGCAGGGGACGTGACTGCCCTAGGGCTACCTGCCCCAGGCTGAGATTCATCTTTGAGGATGGGCAGGGTCTCCGAGTTATTCCAAACCACTGCTGGCCGAGAAAGGTCCCGATTTATGATCTCATCAAGAAGCCTCTTGTTTGACAATGACGGGCTTCAAAATCCCAATCAGGTTTTAAGATTGAGAGAGCAGGGATCTGTCTTCCTCCCAGGAGATGACCCACATGGAGGGAGGAGCTACCGGCAGCGGCTGGGGGCTATGCACCCAGGGAGCTAGTCTTTCCTGTTTGCCAGGAGATGGGGTCAGATGGCTCAGCAGAGAAAGGAGCCAGGATGGGAGTCAGGAGACCTGGGTTCGATTCCCAGCTCTGCAGCTTTGGCTATAGAAACTGGACAAGTCACTGGAGGGCCAACCCTGGTCTCCCATCAGCACATGGGGTACAACTGCTGCATAGACTGGATATTTCTCCAAAAGTTTCAGTGATTGTTATCTTTCTTGGGGCTTGTTGAGTAAGATATTTAAATAGTATTTAAATAGTGAAGGATCCTCCAGTGGCAGTGGCAAGGGAAGGGGTGGAATAGTTTATGTTTGTGCTACAAGGAGACAGAAATCAAGGCACAAATTCTGACTGTATGACCCGGGCAAATTACTTAACCTCTCTGAACCCCTCCTTCCACTGCATGATAATGGTTATCACAAAGGTTGTTACAAGAATTACAAAGAAAAAGTCATACATACTAGTATAGTTCTTGGCACCCAGTAGTTGCTTGATAGATGGTAACTATTGTATTGTCATTGTCGCTGTGGCTATTCTGGAGAGTTAGGGGGTTAGTCTAGAATCCACAGAAACCCAGGCCCTTTGATGAGCTCATAGAACCAAGAAGAGAAAATACTGAGAGGAAAGGGTTCTCTCACACCCTAATTAGACTCTTGGGGAAGCCCACAGAGCAGATGGGGAAGGGGTTGGAGATGACGGCGAAGGATACATCCATCAGAGCTACGATGCTCCGGCACTCATCCAAAGAGAACGCATCTCCTGGAGGTCCTGAGATGGGGAAGAACAGGAGGGACTGAAATGCCAGGGAGGGTGACGTTGGGCTGGCTTGGCAGTGGGGATGATGTTGGGAGCAGGAGGTCCTTACCGTTCAGGAATTCCTGATTGAGAAGTTTTTGCAGCTGGGTGGCATCGATGCCTAGTCCCTGATCCAAATGAGAGAGGAATGCAGGAATTACTCAGTGCCCAGGAGCTGAGGGACACATCTGCCTGACTCTGTAAAAGCACTTGGATTGCTAATGACAGTCCCCACCCAGCGCCCATCTCACCTTTGTCAGGAAGCCTTTCCTGATGGCTCCAGGCCACGGTGAGAACTCCTTTCCCAAACATCTGTGGTGCTGATTACTCCTGACATTTGTTACCTTGTGTGGGTACCTTGCATTTATCTCTTCATTCGTTATTGGACTGAAAGCAGTGTTTGCTTCCTCCCCGCCATGCTTTGTACTGGGGAGCCCCTCAGGAGAAGTACTGCTGAGTGAATCAATTCAGCCCGGCAGGTATGTTTGCCCATCTGCTTCCAGAAAGAGACTAAGAAAATACGACTATTGAGTGTGTATGTGTGTGTGTGTGTGTGTGTGTGTGTGTGTGGTGGTGAGAGATTAAAACGCTGGGAATCTGGGCTAAGAGAAGCTGCTCTAATTGAGCCCATTACTTAGCATTACTCTTCCCAGAGACTGAAGCAGAAAGTGGGAAGCAATTGGGGTTAAGGGGAGAGAAACACTTTCTGGCCTGAACCTCTGGAGGCGTTAAATGCATTCAGTTTTCTACTGGAGACACTGAGCGGCCTTATGGGCAGTGTCTTCCACGACGATTTTACAGAGAAGAGGAGCTGCTCTACATGCTGCCATTTCACATCTGCCTGGTCCACACTCAGGGGCCATGTGGCATCAACGCCCTGGAAAAGCTTTCACACGGGGGAGGAGTGGGCGTGAGGCCTCCCAGAGGTGGCTTTGCAGAGTGGCACTAGGTTTGGTGGAAGAAAGTGCCTCCTTGGGGTCTTCTGAGAACCAGCACCCCATAGATGACATTCTGGCTCCAGGGTTGGCCTCATCACACAGAACTGAAAGCAAAAACAATCCTGCAGCCTGTCCTCATGGGAGTACTTTAGCTAGAAGGATGTCCCCTCATGATGCCCTCAGAGAAACACATTCTGCCAGTGTCAGAAATTGGTTCTCATGTCATCTTTCCAACATCTCAGGTAAGACTGTATATTATGCCCACCATCAACTGAGTTTTTTTCTCAAAAGAATCATCACACCTTGCTTTGCAGAGCAGTTGACATGTTGGTGAGGCACTCTAACCAACTAGGAGATAAGCAGCTTAGGGCATGGGTCCTATCTCCTTCCTTTTGCAGGTCTCCCAGGCTTCCAGGACCCTGACCTGACCTGGACCCTGGACCAGCCGCCACCAGAATGTTTGAGGAAATGAGAATACAAATGGAGATGAAGTTTGCCTGAATAAATTCCCAAAGAATTGCACTGTTTCCACCACCTCAACATAAGATCCCCGAGAACCAACACTGCATCCCCACAGCTTAGCGTGGTACTTGAGTGTCCTAGACATTTGGGACATGTTTGCCAACTGAATAAATGATGGGTGGATGGACCTGGCTTGTCCCACTGTGTCCTTGCTGGCCCCCAGGCAGCCACTGGGCTATGGCACCATCCCCAGTACCATGGCCGATGAAGGTGACTCATGGTAGTGGCAGCAATACTACCTACCAGTATGTTAATTTAAGGCTAGTTAAATGGATACAAGAGATCAGGAGAGAGAACACAGTGAGTGCATGGACGAATATTTTGCTTTCAGCTTTTCTTGGAGAGCACAACCTCTGAGTAGAGCTTGCAGGTTTTGCAGAATAATGCTGGATTGGTCCTGCTCAAGGTGCCTGGGCGACGGATGAGAGGGTACTGGAGTCCAGACTGCATCCTACTTCCCGCTGTCTGGCACAAAGCTGCATTTGTGCTCATTTCTACAAAGTCTCCATATGGGCTCCAGTGACCCTCTATGAGAGACAGTTGGTTGTTGTTTGGAAAAGTTCTAATTTGGGAATCTGTACCATTTATCATCTCACAAATTATCATTTTTAATTCAGATGTGCAGGTGCATAAACCATGTTGTAGATTTTGCCACCTGCCCCTGAAGGAAGCTTGGTCTCAGGTACCCTAATCAGCTCCTACTGATCACCTTGGGGCAGTGACCTGAGCTTGGGCATCTGCTCCGGGGGAAGCTAATCTGTCTTCATTCAATGCAAATTGATGGAGTACCTTCTCTGTGCCAAGGGCAATGATAGGTCTTGGGGACAAGGAATGCATATGACGTCATCCCTGCCTTCAGGAGCTCAGAGACAGGGAGGATCATCTTGCATCAGGTGATGATGAATCATCCCAGATGTGGACCTGAATCCTAGGCCCATATTAATTTCAAGGTGGTTCAGACTGAGCTTCTCCTTGCAACCTGCACCCTGCATGCCAGCCACATTTTTCATTTCTCCTTCTGTTTTCCTCTGAGCCCAGGCTACCTGAATAATTTCCCTTTAGTCTGCCTCATGGTCACCACTGCCCCATTGGCCATCTGAATGCCTGGCATCCTTCCTGCCCTTGGGCTCTGCCTGGCCCTGGGCTGGCACCATGCACATGGTCATCTGTATCACTTTCCACACCAACATAATTATTAATGGTAAAAAGCCCATTGAGCAGAGCCCTTGGCAGCTGTTTTGATCCTGACAAGTCAAGGAGTTCTTTATAACAGTTTATAAAACCATTAAGAAAATCCCCTGTGTGCATAGGTGGCTTGCTTGGCAGGAAGAGCGCTGCTGGTGATTTCTGCAGCTGGCCATGTCCCGGGAGGAATGATGCCAAGGTTGGTGGGAGTTTGCAGAGCAGGAGAAGGAAAGATTTCAAGGGGTGTCGCCAACTGCTTGTGTATAGATTTAAAAAGCACCCCCCCCTCCCATAATGAGGCCCTGCCTTTCCAAGCTCTACGTTTTATCCTGGTGTCTCCCAGGTGGGCCATCACTTCTCTCCAGGGTTTGGAAGTCAGATCAGTTCTGGAGACGTCCAGGGAACAAGGCTGATAAATACCCATTAAGTCATGTTTCCTCTCTGTGTCCTGATAAAAGCCTGGGAGACATTCCCTTCCCTCTGGTCTCCCCATCACCAGTTCCCATGTTAAGTACTGTACCTGCCGAGCATATCTGTAGAAAATGCTTTGTTGAGAGCCATTTTCTGGAAGACTTGCCTGGATCAAAGGGAAAATAGCCAACATCAAATTTCTGGGGAAGGAGGGCACCTGTCTGGTTCAGCAAGGACACAAGAACCCCCCACCGCCACCTGGTTCTGAGACAGGGCTTCATCCAGCAATCGGGTGAAACCTTTAGGGAAACAGGGAAAATGGAAGTTTGTGGAAAGAAGGTGGTTGGGTCCAGCCTGGCCTTGTAGACCTGGCCTTCTCCCCTCTGCCCTGACCCCCTGAGCCATCATTGGCCCATCACGGTGTCTCTGTTTTCATGGATCAGGGGTGAGGCAAGAAGGAAGGTGACAGAAGCTCCTGGGGATGGAATGTGGCCAACGAAACTTACCCATTACCTCGTAGCGCACCTACCTTCAGTGCTTGGAGACTGAAATTGCTGCCCACGTTCCTAGGAAATCAGGGGGATGGTGTGACAAGGATGACCAGCTCATTGTTCAAAGGAGGCTTGCATAGGGAGGGCACCCTAAGGGGCATTTATGCCAGTGGACAGCCCTCAGCAGAGCAGGATGTGACATGGGCAACCATGACAGTTAGACAGGCAGGTGAGCATCCTGACCATGTGTCCAGTCTTTTGGGTCATCTGGTCCTTACCCATTTAGAAAGTGGTCCCTTTCACAGCAAGAGACGCATGTACAATAACCCCACTGCCAGGATGGCAGAAGAGCTTTGTCTCATGTCGCAATTCTCACTGGTGGCACGGTGGCTGTCTGGCACGCTGGACAGATAAGGTTCTATCCATACTCAGCCGTGAAGACTGCCACGATTATAGCGACGTCTGCCTCGGGTCCAAGAGGGGGCGAGGTGCTCAGCGGGGTGTACATCTGTGGGTCCCAGTCTTGCCCATGGACATGGCATTGAAGCCCCTCCACAATGTGTTTTAATAAAATCAGGTCAAATGTGTATTTAGGATCCCAGAGGTTCTTACCCGTCAGCATCTGGCATTTTCAGGAAGATCCGAAGCAAGAGCTCAACTGCTTTTCTGCACGCAGACACGGTGACCACGTAGGTCCCCAGGCTCAGCGTGAAGCACTTTGTGAGGTTGCGCTTGGTTCTGGTCACTATGCCCTTTTCAGCATTTCTGAAGTGGGAGAAAAAGGCCGATGGCAGCTTCTCCCGAAAGTGCTGAAACTAGAGGAGACACGGGGATGGTGAGAAAGGCCCCCTGGGGATGTGGCCCAGGCGCCAGGACAGACCCCTCTCCATGGACCGAAGCGAGCCCTAAAAAGGGAGACGGCGCTCACCCAAACTCTCCAAGTGCAAGAGGGTTTGGACTGTTATTTATATAGATGCTAACACTACAATGAATGCAAAGAAATATGACAAAGGGTTTTACCTCATTAAACCTAACAGCATCCGGGGCCTCTGGGTTTACCTCTCTGCTTATATATGAAGAATTCCATGGAAACGAGTGAGATTGTTTTAACACTGGGTTACTCTGGGAGCCCCCAGAGCCCCTTCTGCCTGCACCTCTTGCGAGGCTCTCTCTGGATCGCAAAGCGCTGCAGTTGGGCTCCCGTCACTTCCTCCGTTTCATCTTCCCAGCAGAGCTCTGAAATTTCCTCTCATTGGAGTATAATAGGCCCCGGTCATTTTCCTTTCATTTCAATATTTTCTTAGAGATAGAACAATAAATATAACGCAGTTCCCATTACTGGATGTCACATACACATTACAAAATAAAAACCCTCACTAAATAAATTTCCCCAATACAGTGGAGCATGGGCATTCCATTTAGAATGGTTACGCTGCATGACATGATTATTTGTGAGCTCAGCCTTGGGGGAAAACAGGGAGAAAGGGAGAGGGTTTTCTTCTTCCAGGGGGCGGGGACAGAGCTGGGCTACAAGGTGAGGCAGGAGCTAGGCCACTGTCTCAGAAATGCAGCAGGGTTCTGGGTGGACTCTCCACAGTGATTCTGTTCACATTCACAGCAGCCCCAGTGGGTTTGGAGCCTGACTTGCTTGAGCCCTTCTGGCAAAAGTGATGATGAGATCAGTCTTCTCCAGAGAGTCAGCACTGTCCTGGTACTGTGTGTGTGCGTGTGTGTGCACACATGTACGCGTGTGTGGGCATCGTGCCCCCTACAATCTAGAAGATAAGGTTTTTCCCTGCGTCCCTGCTCTCTTGCCCTCCTCCCTCCCCTGGACCTTGGTTGCCCTGCCCAGGCTCCTGATCCTGCAGAACTGACTTGCTCAGTGGCAGCAAGAAGCGTAAGTGTGGGGCATGACTGGGGCTCTTGGTCCAGCGCTCAGAGGACCCAGCATCAAATCAACACAGGGCTAGTCACTAGTCACACACAGACCTGACCCTGTTGTTCAAGGGCTGGGGCTTGTGCCTTTTCCTGGATCAAGTCCCCATCCCTTTCTCCAGCTCTGGGAACTAGATCACTGACCTGTTCCTTGCACCTGAGCTTCCCTTGAAGCCTGTCCGGAAGTCCCACTTCTATACCGGAGGTGCCAGGAGGTCAGGGATCAGAGTCATAGTCATAGGGATCAGAGTCCCCATCCTTACTGGTATTTTAAGCCACCTTTCACCAACACCAAGCCAGAATATCTATGGAGGATGCAATTTGGTTGTAAAAGAAGCTAGAGGGTGTGCCTTGAAGTTGGATTTGTATAGCATTTGTTGTGTTTGTGGTAGACTTGGGAGCTGACAAAGAATACCTGAGACTAGAGATCTCCTCAAGGCACCCCTATTAGCCCTGCCTCTCATCTTAAATAAAGGAACTGGCTGCTGTGCCCGGCCAGCATGGCTCAGCGGCTGAGCATCGACCTGTGATCCAGGGGATCATGGTTTGATTCCCGGTCAGGGCACATGCCTGGGTTGTGGGTTCGATCCCCAGTACGGGGCATGCAGGAGGCAGCCGATCGATGACTCTCATCATTGATGTTTCTCTCTCTCTCTCTCTCTCTGTGTGTCTCTCTCCCTCTCCCTTCCTCTCTCTGAAATCAATAAAGACATATTTTTTAAAAAAATAAAAGAAACTGGCTGCATCAGCCTCATCTATTAGAAGCCAAATGCTTGAGGATGGGTTGACAGTTGCAGCCCCTTGTGAATGTTAAATCAGAGAACAGCTCCTGGGGTCCAACCTTTAGACCAATACAGCTAAAATATGTCCCTCATTATTGACCTGTTTGGAGATCCTAAGCTTGTGGCTGTTACGGGATGTAGCAAGACTGAATTTGCAGCCACTGAACAGTGAGGGACGTGTCGAGGCCATGGGTGTTGAAAGAGGCACAACACTTTACCCACGGACAGCAGCAGAGGCATGAGAAGCCCCGTGAGGGAGGTGGTGAGCCATACCTGAGGGTCGACCTGCGGGGAAGAAGAAAAAGGCAGGTTTAGGAGCCTAAACCAACGCAAAAGGCAAGCAGAGCCCAGCAGCCTGGCTCGGGGCCCTGCATTCCTCCTTCCCGCATGGTCAGCCTGTCCCCTGGCACACCCAGGGATGAACGGGGACCACTGCACGTTCCCTGTGTGGAGCTGTGAAAAAGAAAACCGAACCCCTTGTGGGGACATGTAGGGGAAGGACATGGAGGAGGGGAGAAGGTGCCAGAGAGGAGGAGACTCGCCCTTTGTCAGCTCAGCAGCTGTGGTTACTGGTCACAGCAACGGTTTAATGAAATCTCCCAGCCTGGTTGGCCACTCTCTCCTCCCAAGGTGGACACAAATGTCCCAAAAGGGCAAGCCCTGAAGCAGGTGGCCTTACCTTGAACACGTGGAAGTTCAGTGGAAACTTCTCATCTGTATTTAAATTTTGTGGTGCGATGCTGCAGGACACAACGACGTTGTTGCCTTCCACTCTCTCTGGCACAGAGAAGATGTACTGTGTGTCCCTCTCAAATCCTTCTGCAAGAGAAAGAGCTGGCGCTGGAGCTCAGCGTGGCTCCTGGGGCTCCCAGGTGGGGCCATGTCCAGTTCAGAGAGCCCTGGGCGTGGGGGAGTTAGAAACTGGATTTGAAAACATAAGGCCTGGGTCCCAGTCCTCACAGTTACTGGTTGTGGAACAAGCTTCTTCATTTTGTGCGCCTCAGTCTCCTCCTTTTAAAAACGAGGAGGAGTTCTATCCAGGGCATGTAAACGTACTCAGGTTCATCTTCACAGGGAGCTATTTCACTCATCCTTGTCACCCATGGGGAGTGGGGGTGCGGTGAGAATAGGTGACACTCTCAAGGTCACAAACAACATGATTTATCTCAAGGGAGCCTGAAGCCAGGTTCTGGGGGTCTTCCTCTGGATCTCAGCACAGTGCGCAGGACACACAAACAACATGATTTATCTCAAGGGAGCCTGAAGCCAGGTTCTGGGGGTCTTCCTCTGGATCTCAGCACAGTGCGCAGGACACACCAACCCAGGGGGCAGGAATAGTCTCCCTTATGTCTGGGTGGCACTTGTGGTTTCTAGGGGCAGACAGGGATGATCAATCCCACTGTTCACTGGTGATGAGGCTGAGGCAGAGAGACCAGCTATATTCCCAGAGTCACAAAGCCACGATGTGGTGAGGACAAGGGTTTAACCCAGCCTTGACATTTGTCCAGTGTTCTTTCCACGCTCTCCCACTGTCCTGGGAATTACTGAAGAGCAGTGACCCTATTCTGCTCCTGGGAGACAGGTGGAGGTTAGTGTTAGGACAGTGGGAGAGCGAAAGGGAAGGGAGGCATATTTGAGATTCTCCTGACCCATCTCCTCCAGCAACCATTTCCCTTGGGGAAGTATAGCTGTCCCTTTAGGCAGACAAATCCCTCCCTTCCAACTTCTGGCTGATGGGCCAGAATCAAGAGCCACTGAGACCTAAAGCCAGGACGGGGCTAGGGCTGGCAGCTTCCCGTCTGGCAGAATCAATGACCAATGCCACAACTACCTGTAGTGTTTCCTGGAGTCGTGTAGTTCTTTAATGTAATTTGGGACCATCTTTCATGGGCCATGTGTCCAGGGTACAGGTTGACTGGGAATTGGTTACATATATAAAGGCAGGAGAAGTTCTCTTGGAAATCACGACATGACATCCTGTTTAAATAGATACACATCACTAAATGAGCACTGCTTTTGGCCCCCGGGGGGAGTTCCCATCACTTCACTGTGTCTGCCTGACAGCCACAGCATTCACTGACCTACACTGTCCTACCCAAGCTCAGAGCCCCATTCTCATTTTCTCAGCCTGGGTCACCCGGGTCAAATACAGTTCTGCTCCCTCTAGTGGTTGGGAGGCCAAAGAGTCAAATTGTGGGTTTTGCCCATCACTGGGCAAGGGCTTCACTGACAACCATCCCCTCACCCACGGATCAAACTGCGAGGCTGCTCACAGGCAGCAGGACGGCTGCCAGTCTGTGTTGGCCACGAGCCCTCCACCACGCGAGGAAATCGCCCCTCCCTAGGACCCTTTGCTAGTTTCATTGTAGAGGTTGTTATCAGAATAAAATGAATTCAACACCTAAAATCCCACTTCATGCTTTGATGAAAGTGGAGATACTGGAAATATGTTTCCTCCTAATTTGCATTTGTCCCTGTTTCTCAGTTACTTAGGCCCGGCCGCCTTTTCCCATGTGCTAAATGTCATTTAAACCATCACAAAGCGAACCAGACAGCCCCTCGGAGAAATGTCCTCCTTATCTAAGATGAGAGCATATGGCCAGAAACGTGTTTTCACAACATCCAGGCCTACACAGCTGCTGGGCAATGACACCAGTGTCTCGGCAAGAGCTCTGGAACCCGGGCTGGGAGATGAGCTCCGAGCTCGCTCTTCTGGAGTCCATGCCAGGGACACTGTGGAGCTCCATGGTCCCAACAAACACAGGAGACACAGGCATGAAAACCACGCATCCCACTTTCCAGGAAACTTGGTTTCAGAGCTCCCGTGCCCATATTCCCTTTGACCACTAACATTTCCTGGAAGGTCCAATATTTCAGGGATGAAATGCCTTTCACACAAGGGAGCGCACACAAGTAATTGCTCATTCAAAGCTTTTGTGTCTCAGTCGGAAAAAAAGGCTCCCTCTACACAAGTCTCTGCAAAGCTCTTCTCTAGTCTCACAAGGCTTTAGGGAAAGGGAACGATTGAGGGTGTGGGCAACTGTTACAGATTTAAAATGTAATTTTAGAAGAAGAGTAAATACCAAAACTCGCCATCATTCTTATTCTCATATAGCTTGCTCTTCCGTGGGTCTTGGGTTTCCTGCCACTCCGGAGACCTGAAAGTGGACAGAGAGACCACAGGGTGAGACCTCCCAGAGCGTTTCATCTCAGCCACACATGGCCCAGCAGGGGCCCTTTGTGCAGGCCGCCCCTAGTTCTTGGGATACATGGAGGGGGTCATTCTATCTGATGACAGGAGCCAGTCATTCTCTATATGCTGATGGCTTCCAGGCTGTCCTGAGCCCAATCCTCTTTCCTGAGCTTTAGGATACATGTGTCGGTCCATCCCATGCCTCCACCACTTGCCATTGAGCCAGCTCAGACTCCTGGTCACCTTATAAGTGAGTAATATCCACAATGTCCTGTCTGCAACAGCCCCCTCAGCTCCTGTGGACTCTTACCTAAGGCCTCTTTAATGGAGTCAATTCCTCTCATATTCTGTCTTCCTCTTTTCCTGCTCCCTTCTATTTTCCCCAGCATTATTGTTTTTTCCAAAGAACCCTGCCTGGCTGTCCTGTCACTAGAATTCAAGTTCCACAAGATCAAAGAGCCCTGCTCACCATGGTAATGCTATCATCACAGGGCTTAACACAATGCCGTGGCACACAGTAAGCACGCAATAATTTTTTGCTTGCTTAATTAATAATTACAGTTACCCACTGCAGTGGGGTAATGTGTTCCCGAAGCTAGCCCTAGGGTCTGTGGTGAAGGAGGAGACCCTCAGGCAGAAGGGAACAGGTGCCCCTCCTCAGCCCACTCCTCAAAGTGGAGGCTGCTCAGGGGCACCAGGCCCCAGAGGCATAGACGTGTAACGAGATCTTTCTCTGCCAGCGGTTTGCATCCAGGGTGAGGTCACCTCTGTGCTGGGAGAGCAAGGCAGGGACCACCCCTCAGGCTCCTGGCTGCAGGCTGAGCCAGTCAAATGTGCTATTGTAAAATGGCAATTTTATAATTAAGCGATAATTACATTTTCTGCAATGTGTAAGGGAAAATAAATGTAGTGTAAATCAATACATTATCGATTCATGCAAGTTTGCCTTTAAGTGTGTGCGACTGAAATTTCAATTGTGGCTGAGATGAGACCATCCGGCTCTCCATCCATTCCCATTCTTTAAAGAGTAGGGAGAAAATGGGCCACCTGCTTGGGGACAGTGACTATGCAGCCCCATCACTTCCTGCCAGCCTGGTTTCTGGTGGGAAATGGTGAACCTCAATGTTCAGCCAAAACACCTGACCAGGTAGGTAGTGCTAGGTCCAGCTCCCCGGTCCCTGCTGCGCACACATCTCCCCCCTGCTCAGAGGCCATCATAGACCCGTAGGGTGTAAATCCAAACATCTAAGCTGGCACTGGGCTCAGCCCCAGCTCCCAGTACATCTCTCCCCAGTCCCTCTGGCTCAGGCAAGCTTACTGGCCTAGAACACACTGTAAATGTTCCTGGCTTAGCACATGGCCAACGAGTCCCGGCCTACACAGTGATCTCTTCCGAAGTGAGTCATATTTCCTTTGGAAGTTGAACTCAAGTTCAACCTCATTCAGGAAGCTTTCCCTGAACATGCACCAGCCCACCAGAGGCTTCTCTTCCCTGATCTCCTGTGTCCCTTGTTGCTTCCCCTGGTCATTTGATATTTAGCATGTGAGACCTGGGCGAAACATCAGCTCATGAATTTCCAGACTGTTCTCCTACCCAAGGGCAATGTGTCATTGACACCTGCCCCTCCCCCAGTCCTAGCCCAACAGCCAAGCAGGAATCCGCTATTCTGGCTAATTGTATTGTCCTGGGGCTTCATTTGGCAGCTTGGGGTGACGACTGCTAAGGAGGATTGGAAAGGACCAGAGGTTGCTAAGATTTACATGGAGGGGGCAATGGGCAGCCCTAGGAGGGAAGGAAGAACAGAGGCAAGAAAAATGGACAGAGGGCCACTGAGTGAAAATAGCGTCCAGTGGCTCCTGGTTTTGCAAACTCATTCCCCTTCTGTGGAGGGGATCGGGCTGCCCAGTCCTCCTGGGGGCATCTGAGGTCACAATCAGGTTTATGTGATGAGTCCATGTTGCTTGTTTCCTCCTTCTTCCCTCTTTCCCTTGCTTTCCTACCCTTTACCCCAATTGCATTTCTATCTCCCACTTGCTGAGGCCCACTTGTGCAGGCTCACACCAGCTGCTGGGGCTCACGAAGGGTCAGGGAGTCCCTGCCACAGCCTGGCTTGGGCGATGAGACCACATTCTGTGGCTGGAAATTGGGGCTGGGGCAACGCCAACTCTGCATTCACCTTCTAGAAAGCACTTTTCACCGCACTGATTTTCACTGCCTGTTGGGTCCTGTTCTCCTTTTGAGTGTTTTGCACTGCTTTTCGAACCATGTTCTCTTTCCCACTCCTGCCTCCTCCCCACACATCTGGCCCCAACCCCCAGCAATGCTGTTGTGGCCACCGCTGTGGCTCAACACTTTTTATGGATCCACATGGGCCCTCAGAGGAATGTGACAGGGCTGGGCCCCACTGACTGCTCAGAGGAGCAAGTGACTGTCACTGTCCCTCTGTTCCTCTAAGGACCACCATCTCATTCTCAGTCAGCAAGGGGGTGAGGATCAGTGACTAGTCCTTCTGGCAGCTGGGGAATGCCAGCCCAGCTCCAGGGAACCTCTCACCACACAGCTGGGTCCCCATGGTCAGCTGGGTCTGAGAACAGCTGCCTAGGACATGGCCAGCAGGAGCACCTGAGACCAGCTCAGCTCCATTCACTCATACTCTGAGCCAGGTGCTAGTCCAGGCACCGGTCACACATACGTGCACCCAGGTCAGTAGGGCAGGGTGCTGACCCACCTGGACTGAGAAAAACTGTAAGCCTCAGTTCCCCTAACCCCCTAAAATGAAGTCTTTCCCATCCTGAGGACATGGCGTCATCAGGACCAGAATTCCTTAAGATCCATTTATGGGATGAGGCACCTTCTCCCCAGCTCTCCTCCCAGTGGAGCTTAACTCCTGCTCTGCCCCACCTTTTTTTTTTAAACTAATTCTGGGTGTGGGGGTCCAAAGCTCTAGATTGTGACGTTCTGGAGAACAGACACTGGGTCTTGTCACATATACATATCCCACAACACACAGTCGGTGTCTAACAGATGTTTGGTGGGTGGCATCATGGGAGTGTGAGACGGACCGACAGATGTGCAGGTGTGAACTGGAAAAGCCTGCAGTTAGATTCACAGCAGGGGAGACAGATGCCACCCTCTGGGGCAGGGCACTCTAAACATAGGTCTCGGTGACAGGCAGAGAGGTTTTCAGAAGCCGTACCTGTCCCCCCAGCGCCCCTGCCACTCGGTGTTGCCCCAGGGGTTCCACAGGCGGATGAGGTTTTCCCAGCCCCTCCTGTACTGAACCTGTAAAGGACAGAAACGGAAACTGTCAGAGGTCTTGAGCCAAAGTCAGCAGAAAGAGGGGATATGAATGCAGCTGCTTTTTACCTCCAAGGACTAATTTAACGTCTGACCTCATTTGGCTGCAGCCAGAAAAAAAAAAATTGAAAGAAAAAAAAAAAAAATCAATGTCTGCTGCCTGCATGGAGTTGGAATGAGATAGAAGAGAAAATGGTCCTTTCTGCTCAGCACCTCGCAGGGCAGGCACAGTTTCATCATCCCACACCGCTGCACCCCAGAACTTGGGCGAGCTGAGATTTAATAGCAGATAAATAGCAGGGATGTTGCCTCAGGCTGCAGAGGGGAGAACTTTGTGGGTCCCTGGCCTCCTCCAGGCCTGGTCACAGCCGGCATCTCTATTCCGGCCACTGCTGCTTCCCTGCCAGTCAGTCACCCACTGGGAGCTGTGCTGGGCTGGGTCTCCACAGCGCTGTCCTGAGTAAGAAGGAAGACTTGAGCAAGACTGGGACAACTCGGGAATCGAGATGCCTGGGGCTGGCCTCTGTTGACGAGCAGGGTGCCTCGATGGCTTGGACTTTCCTTCCCCCTAGGGATCTCATCCCTCACTCCCAGAAAGGAGGTTGGTACATTTGCTCCTTCAGACCACTGAGGCCTGAGGGCAGGACTATTGAAAAATTACAATGAAATAATGGCAACCCTTGCGCCTACAGTCCCGGATCCAGGAGCCCTCGGCCTGGAGAGAGAAATTAAAGTATGATCGAGTTGTAGCTGTGAGATTGATCTGTGCTAATGCTGTCTGCAGAGATGGAGGCCTGGGGGGAGGCGGCAGGCTTGTTCGACGACTCCAGGTCAGAGGAGGCTGAGCGGAATATCATCACATGGAAAAGGACCCTGTGCTCGGAACCAGGCTCGGCTGAGTGATGGACGTGAGTTACCTCCCTCAGTCCTTCCCAGTAGATTATTATATAATCCGTGTTTTACAGAGGAGGAAATTGAGCATCAGAGAGGTTAAACCACTTTCCCAAGGCCACAGAGTAAGTGACAGAAGCAGAATTCTGACCCTAGTCAGTCTCCAGAGCCCAGGCTCTGAATTTTGGAACTGGGGGTGGATAAAGGGACAGCTGCTCCAGTGTCCAGCCCATTTTTCAATGTGGCTGTGAACCTGACCCTGCATATAACCCACCCTAAGCCACCTGGCCAAGGCCCACATGATCACCAAGAAAGCATCGCCAGGAAGGAGCCATGCAGTCAGACAAGGGTCCAAGAACCTAGCTTGGGTAATGTTTGTTTCTTGGCTTTTCCTTGTCTGCGTCTATTGCTGGCTGGCATTGCAGTGGAAGCTGCTCTGGCTTTCAGTGCCACACAGGATTGGGGAAGGGTCCTGGCACGAACCCAGGTTTCCTGCCCTTCTCGGCCCTACCCCAGAGCACTCCAGGCTTTGCACACAATATACTGACTGCCAGTGCCTGGTAGAGTCCACAGAGCAGGACATGACTAATGGTCACCGGTGACCCAAAGAGTTTAATGAGCCGCCCTCAGTGCCTAACGGACAGTCGCGGGCTCAGCTGGGCACCAGGGAGAAGAGCGGCAGGGATTGGAGGGGCTGGAAGAGGGCTAATGAGGCTTGCAGATAAACACTCACCCCTGCCCAGGGGAGCCAGGGACCAAGCCAGGTACATAATAAAAAATGCCAATTTCATTTATCTTCCTGTCCGTTTCCCGCCCAGAGGGAGGAGGAACAGATTAAAAAGCACGCGGCATTTATGGGCTGGTTTAATCTTAGCACTTGCAGAGTTATAACCTCGTCTTCCTGGAGGAGAAACTTTTAACCAAGTCAAGCTCTTGGCCCCTGGTCTGACTGTGTCACTCGTTTTGTCAGTGCCCTACTGGTGATCGCATGGACCATGGCCAGGTGGCTCGGGAGACCATTCGAGATGAGAGATCATCCAGGTTATCTAGCCTAGGATAGTATTTCCTTAAATGTATTCTCTCAAATGGTAATTCCATAGGCTGTGAATACTTATTCCTAGAAAAAAGGTTTTCATGGTTGATTAAAGCTAAGCTGTACTTGTCTGGTTAATACAGGCCTCCTCAGAGCCTTTAAAATGTTAATGTCCATTGTGAATCTCCAAGTAGGGGACATGATGAGCTTCACAGGGGATCTCACCAAGCTGGTGCTCCACAGAGCACAGGCTGGGAAGTCAGCAGCCACAGAGTGTCAAAACAGACCGCACAGGACATGGAGTTTCGATCACCTACCTTCAGAGGGGAACTGTCCTGTTCAGACCACTTATTGTATTATAAGAGCGACTCAAAGTGTGTGCTGTGGGGAAGCAAACATTTATTCTGTGAAAGGAACCATCAGGAACCCAAACCCCAGTTGAGCCCACAGCCCGACTTCTGAGCTCACCTCCATTCCCTGGGCCCTTGGAGTTTACATGGCCGCTCCTAACCTGACAGTCACTGCCATCTCCATGCCCAGCCTCTGTGAGGACTCACATCCTATGGCCATCGGGACCTCTCAATACTCAAGTCCCTTCTCCCCTGTGTTCAGGGGAGAAGCAAAGGCTGTCTCAACATACAACAAGGGTCTGGGCCAGGGCTAGAGATACATCGTGAGATACGGCTCTTTCATTCCATGCCCAGCCCAGATATCAAGCACCAATCACAGCTCTTTCCCCAACTGGAAGCAGTGCCAAAGTCTTGTCAATACAGCAGTCCAGGCAGCATTAACTCATCAAGTTTGACACAAGAAGACCGATTTGCTGTCTCTAGCCTAGACTTGCCCACATCTCGGTCAGGGGGGTTGTGGGGAGCAGTGTTTGTACATGGCCAAGCGTGACAATGATATTGGCTGTCCCCACTGAGAATTCAGAGGAAGGGAGTGTGGAGCCACTGTGACTGGGATCTCTTCTGGCCTGGGTTTATCAGGACAACCTCTTCCTTGCTTGTGGGAAATGTCTTCTGAGCACATCACATATGATCTATGATGAAGGATCAGTGATGTCATCTTAATAGGCTAGGAGCAAATGCACTCATTCATTCACTCACACAAGTGCACCCTTCCACTGATCCCTCAAGCATTGCAGGTGCCTACTGTTTCCCAGGTACTGTGCACAGAAAGCGTCTTGTTACCGATTTCTTTAGGGAGACAGGCAGGAGACANGCTGTCCCCACTGAGAATTCAGGGAAGGGCCTGGAGAATTCAGAGGAAGGGAGTGTGGAGCCACTGTGACTGGGATCTCTTCTGGCCTGGGTTTATCAGGACAACCTCTTCCTTGCTTGTGGGAAATGTCTTCTGAGCACATCACATATGATCTATGATGAAGGATCAGTGATGTCATCTTAATAGGCTAGGAGCAAATGCACTCATTCATTCACTCACACAAGTGCACCCTTCCACTGATCCCTCAAGCATTGCAGGTGCCTACTGTTTCCCAGGTACTGTGCACAGAAAGCGTCTTGTTACCGATTTCTTTAGGGAGACAGGCAGGAGACAAAAGATATTGTCCCTGTTTTGTGGGTTGGAACACTCACCAAAACATGAAACAATGGAGCACCTGGCCTTAGGCTGATGGACAGGAGAGACAGATTGACACAGAGAGAGGGAAGGCAAGTAGGAGAAATAGTGCTAGAAACCGAACAGGACACTCTGCTTTCCTTGGTCCATAAATGCCTGCGAAAAATATTCCCTGGAGTTTGGAATGCTATCTCTTAGGGCCTGGGAGACATTACTAGGCCTTGAGCTTTGTGGGAAATACAGAGATGGGGGAGCATTTGTGGGAAGTCATCACAAGGCCAGGAAGCGCTGTCACTGCCTGGCTGCGTGATAAACATAGATGGGAACTAAGGAGCCATGGTGTCTTGGCCCGGCCACTTCAAGCAGCTGTGTGACCCTGTGAGAGACCTTCCTTTCAGGCCTCTGCTTCTTCATTTATGAATGGAGGGAGCTGGACTTTAATAGTGCTTTCTGGACCAAATGATACTGTACGTAGTAATTACACACGTTTTCATGCACCCAAAGTCAGTTCTGTATCAAGGGAAAGACTGTCCTCCAGTGGCCACCTTCCCCTCATCCTGGGAATAAAGTTTTAGCTGGCATATGGTGGCCCAGCTAGACAGTGTGCTTCCTGGACTCCCTCGGGCCTCAGTGTGGCCACATGTTTAGGTTCAGAGTACTGGGATCTGAGAGGAAATGGTGTGTTCCTTCCCAAAGGATGTATAACTTTCCCCTGGCCAGGAGATGAGGGGACCTGGAGCAGCTGCCTTGGGCTCACAGGTATAAGTCCAGTGTTGTGGATGGCAGAGCCACCTACTAGCTCTTGAATCACCTCATCACCTGAGAGAAGAACAAACTTTACCTTGTTTGAGCCCTGTATTTTGGAGTGTCTGTTACAGCAGTTTAGTTGGTACAAGTAAAACCCTTCAGGGCAAAACATCCCCCAGAGTCAACTGACTAGTTCATTCTGTTTTCTTTTGGGGTAACCCCCAGTCCAGCTAGATACACCTTGCCTGAGATCACCTCGAGGGGAGCAGGATCCCTGACGGGTCCCTGGGGGTGAGGGACACCGGGCACCAGAGCTTCTGTATGAATAGAAGGACTGAGGCTGCCCGCAATGGGCGCCACCATGGGTAAGGGTGATAAATACTTGGTTCAGCTTTGCTGGGCTTGCTGAAGGCATGTGATTCTGACTCTGGTTTCCAGGACAAGAACACTGGGGCCCTACCACGGGAGCCTTACCTGCTCGGTCCCCGTCACGGTGTAGGCGTGCTGACTCACCAGACCATTCTCCATGGTCAAGGCCTTCCCTGTCGGCTTCAAGCGAGAAAAGCAGACCAAGCATTAGATTTTCACAGGTTCTTCCAAGAACCCACAGCTGCACGAGAAGTGTCCCACCGACTCCCATTGGAATGGCACGTATCCCCAGAGCTTCTCTAGAGGCAGTTTGAAGGCTGCTGGGGGGTTGAGGTTCCAGGCATTTCATACCTCAGGAGACCACCCCATCATAGACAGAGCCCCACGGAGTCCTGAGGTCCAGGGCTGCTTGCTCCCCCAATCACTCATCATCAAGGAGATAGCAGGAAACCTATCTGCTGGGCGTACCCCCCCGCCCCCGCTGTGAGTAATTGGGGTTTAAAGTGCACCTTAGTCTTTGGGTGGCATTTCAGATTAGGAACGTGTGACTCAAAGCCCAGATGTCTCAAGAGTAAAGGAAGCATCCTTGGGAGTAGGGGTCTGGACCATCTCAGAAAAGACTCAAATAATTTGGAGGGTCATCCAGACTTTTCAAAATGGGACACGCTGCATTGGGAGGCTGCCTTTAGAAACAATGAGACTCAAAGGGGCTCCCAGCTGGTCACAGGGAAGTACTAGGCAAAGGCTTTGGAGTCAGAAGGCAACACCTGAACCCCTGCTCAGCCACCTACTGGCTGTGTGATGGGGAGCCTTTTCCTTGGCTTCTCTGAGCCCCTTTCCTCTTCTGTCAGCAAACCGTGCAATCCTATCTCCAAGGGAGGGCCGTCGAGAATTAAAGGAGGTGACCTCGGTGAAGCACAGCGTCCGTGCTCCTTGATGGCTTTGACCATTCCCCTCCTAGCTGAATGAGCCAATGGCTGAACACTCCCGGAAGAGGAGAGGCTTGAACCCGTGCAAAAGGATTGCTGGTCCACTCACCCCGGCCGGTGTGGCACAGGTCATCAGGGAGCCTGCCTTGGCAGCCGTCTTTACCATCATGACGAGGTCAGAAGGGGAGGAGTGCAGGTCAATGCTGGTGACCACCCCTCCCGTGAGGTCCACCAGGGCATCAGGGAGGTAGCCGTAGTGCAAACGGAGATAGGATCCGTGGAACCTGGGAGGGAGAGTCAGACCGAAACCCCTGCGGCGCCTTCGGTGAGACCCTGGGGAAGGGAGCCTACACCCCTGCCTTCTGCCTGTTTCCCAGGTGAAGGGCTGCCTGTCCACCCCTGGGCCACAGCCACCCACCTTCCCTCCGCCTGGGTGGAGATTCTAGCCATGCACCCCTGCAGCTGCATCCTTTCCCTGGTCTCCCGGCCTGGGTAGCCCCCTGGGCGGTGGTACTGTATAGAGGTCAGGAGTGCAGATGCTGGGGCCCCAGGCCAGGGGTCAGATCCCAACCTCACCATGTATTTAGCTGCTGGACCTTGGACAAGTTACTTAACCTCATGGGGCTGGACCTAGCATAGTGCCTGGCTCATGGCGAGCCCTTAATAAATATTGGATGTTATTATGATGAGGACCCTGTTTCCTGTTCTGTTTGACAATAGTGGTAAGTGCCTACTGTGTGCAGGGTGTCATGCTAGGCACTGAATGTTCAAAGATGAACGAGACCCCATTCCTGCCCCCAGAGCTCATGGTCAACAGCCCCGATGCCTGCCGCGGCCACAGCAGCCTCTGTTCTCACTCTGTCCAAACCTTGGCCCAGGTTTCCCATTCCCATCCTCAGATTTATCACCCCAGCATCACCAGGGAGATCCCACAGGCGACCAAGGTGAAAACACCACGCCCCGCACAGGCCAGCGGCAGCGGAGACGTTCCTTCCACAGCCTTCTTTCTGGTGATGCGAGTCACACGGGGGTCAGGGCCCTCCCTTGCCCACCCTTGCAGTTGCCCCTCATGGGGCCTGCAACCTTGGACAAGATGCTTTCCCTCCCAGCCATCAGCCTTTCACCTGGAAATGNCCCTTGCCCACCCTTGCAGTTGCCCCTCATGGGGCCTGCAACCTTGGACAAGATGCTTTCCCTCCCAGCCATCAGCCTTTCACCTGGAAATGGTGAGGTTGCCTGGACCACGTCTGGGGGCTCCTCACACACTCTTTTCTCACCCTCTTTCCACCTCTTTCCTTCTCTCCTCCCGGGTATCACCCAGAATACACATAAATTCACTTCAGCAAATACGTATCAAGCAGCCACTCTAAGCAGGACACTGTCCCAGGCACAAACACCATGGATGGCCTAGAAAGTCTCTTACTAAAGAGAGCTAAGGATCACAGAACAAAACGGCCATTCTACAGGAACAACCGTGTGACTGGTCTCAATCTGCTATCAAAATGAGTCTAAATCTTATCTTTCTCTTGCTCTCTCTGACTCAGGTTATTCCTGGTACGAGACTCTTATCGCTAGGGTGTTTGCTTGGTGAGCCGCAAAGTTTACCTTCGGTCGCGACTATGCCCGGCTGGGTGTGAATGTCTGCCTCTGTCGATTTCCCACAGGTCCTAGATAGGGAGGGCTTTGCTGGGGGTACTGCAGGTTCACAGAGACCAGAGGTCTGGACCCCACTTCTGAGCCCAGCAGGGTGACCTCTGGCACTGCAACGCCCTTTCCTGGTAATACTCTCAGCCACCCCACCCCCCGGGGTTAAATAGGGCCACATCAGAGTCACCCCAGAAAAGCAGCTCTGGGTGCTGTCCTGTCACTTCAGGCCCACATCCTCAGGTTCTGATGTCATGTACTCATCCCATTCTGCAGTCACCACGGAGACCCCGATGCGAGGGACAGGACCCGCAGCCAGCAGCCCCCTCGGTGCCTCTCACAGCCCTATCACTGTCTCTGCAATGCCCACAGCCTGGCCCAGCAGCAGCTGGGTGTTTTCACAAGGAGGGATCTCTCTGCTTTTGAGCTCACCAATCCTGCTGATGCTTCGGACACATGGCAACTTTTCTTAGCCCCCCTTTGCTGACAGGAGATAAAAAGGGAAGGAGAGATAGAAAAGAAAGAAGAGACGGCGAGAACTGTGCTCACACCTGTCACTACGCCTTGTCACCTGAACCCAGAAATTCTGAGAGAGCCTTGCTCTCATCCTTCTGCTTCGGCCTCAGAAATGATACAAAAGAGGAAAGAATTCAGATGTCTAAGTCAGAGCCAGAAAGGATGTTGCAATGCTGCAATTCTTAAGCGCAGAGACTCTAGAAGGGACAACATGCAGCCTACCAGATCTTGCCCCCAAACTCCATTCTATTTTATGACCTCAGGGGAAAATCTGCAAACATAGATCCTCGCCCCAACTTCGGCTGCATTTCCAGACTCCCAGCCACAAGGAGAGTTGGAAGTTTGGAGTCCACATATTCACTGGTCAGTGCCTGCAGCCTTGGAAGGGAAGGGCCATCTCCGTCTGGGTGGATGGGTTCTCTGTGTTGTGCTGTGACCCCATGTGACAAACACTGAGTTCCAAAGAGGCAAAAAAGACAAATCCTTCTCCTAGGGCACTGCCAGGGTGAAGGGCTGATGGAAAAGCATGTGACTAGGGAGAACACTTCTCAGTCCAGCCTGGCCTCGAGCGCCCTGTGACCTTGGGCAAGTCATTCCACCTTCACGAGCCTGTTTCCTCGTAGCCCAGAGGAGAAGGCAGAGCTTGGGGCTGACGGCGGCCGCTGCAGCTCTGACACGCCGCAGTGCGTTTGTCTTGTTCCTGGATCCTGCAGCTGCCTTCTTGGGATGGAGGCGAAGCTTCCAAACAGCGTAATCGTTTGAAGCATTTTGTCTCTGCTAGATTTGGTCAGGCAGTGGAGCGTGGATGCCAGTCCAGTTGCCCATTTCTCTTCAAGCTTTTGGAAACGATCGCCTTAGGTCAGCTGTTAACAAACTGGGTCAGAGTCGTCATTCCATTCCACAGGCCTTCTAATTCCCCCAGTGAACTGCCAGCCCCCCGCATTTTACATAAGGAAAAAATGAGGCCCTGACGGGGTGAGGCCTGACTCCGTACTGGAAAGACAGTGGCCATGTCTGCGTAAGTAGCTTAGACGTGAATGAACCCCCCCAAGCGTGTGGAATCAGTTCAACAAGCTTGACTGTGATCTGGGCTTCGTTCTCAAATCCTAGTGAACAGCTCCTCTTAACACTGGAAAGAGCAACTGTTTTACTTTGTTACAAGTTGGCTCCAAAGGAAAAATACCAAAAAAGAGGTCTTGAGACTTCTCGCTGTTGAGCTTGTGACGTCCAGAAGGACAGGGGCCAGGATAGTCTGCAAGGTGGTCACCACTCCGCAGGGCCCCGGACAGGGTTGGGCCAGGTCTTGGGACCTCAGGAAATTCAGGGGAGCTACTTGCACTTGCCGTCATATCACCATTCAGAGCCTGGGCTTGAGGGGTTGGTTAAGATGACCTTTAAGAAACCTGATTTGGCAACATTATCTGCTATTCATTTTCTCCTGAAAGGTGTGGTCCTCTGTCCTTTTGTTTCCTAGTACTGATTTCTAGCTCTGGCGTGTCCCTCATCCATGTGGGTCTTTAGAAAGTGACTCATACACACACACACACACACACACACGTACTCTCACACACCCATGTGAGCCAGTCTAAGAGTCTATCCCAGTGCTAAGCACAATGCCTGGCCTACAGTTACATGCTCAGCGAACATCTGCTGAATAAAGTAACCCCCCAAAATCTAAGTAGAACATGTGCACTGGGGTGTTTGTAAGTCACTGTGCTGTCAACACCAGAAGATAGCCCTGAATCATGGTGTTTGGACCATTTAATAACGAACAACTCCCCCCCACACACACACACACACATAAATGCAATCTCTCAGCTGCCACATCAGGCCCCCACCATCCCGACCTCACTTTGAACTGTCCCACTCCTAGCTCTCTGTCGGAATCATTCCCATTGTTGGGGATGTCTCTCCCACATATTTCTCCTCCTGCTAAAATTCTAGCCATCCTTCAAGGCCTCACTCAACACCACCTCCTCTGTATAGCCTCAGACTGATTCTCTGAGTCCAAAATCAGAATTGTTTTCTCTCTCCTCTGCCCTCTCAGCAGACTATGACCAGGATATTATATTTTATTTGGTCCCTATACCAGCCCTTGCAATAATATCATTGTCAGTGCATATCTCTGTCCAGCCCTGCCCTGCCCACCCCTTACTAGGTGCCTCTGGGTCCCTCCGAAGGGCCCCAACACAACCTTGCATACAGTGGATGTTTATGGAGGATGCCCAGCTGGGTGGCAAAGGCTCTGATGCTCCCAGGGGCATCGCCTGCATTCAGCAAAGCTGCCGACAGTCTCAGGGCTGACTGGTGGGAAGCATCTGCACATTTAGGGCCAGCATCAAGGCCCTGGGCTGAGGGGCGGGCCCATCCTTACTTGGCATAGGCTTTCTCCAGCAGGCACGGCCAAAATTCTTGGTTCTTGAGAGGATTCACAAAGAGGTACTTCTTGTCCAGGAGAGGCAGGCGATCATCAACCACCACTTCCACCCACTGGCCACACTGCCAGAACTGGAAGAGAGATGAATGCTTATTAGCACTGGGGCAGGAGGGAGCTCCCGGACCCTCAACCTGAGCTAGATGATAACCACCGCCACCATGTGACCTCCACAACGCAAAATCAAACCCTATCCAGAACAAATCTCAGCCCACGCTGATGGTCGGGATGGGCATGTCATCTCCAATGGCAGATGGAGGAAACGAGTCACAGACCAAGTCAGAAAGGAAAATACAAGCGGAGAGGAAGGAGACTTAGGTTCTAGTTTGACTTTGCTCCTAACTCTGGCCACACTTTGGTAAGTCCTTTGTGAGCTCCAGGCATGAGGCTCTCCAGGTGCAGCTGGGCACAAACTGGCAATAGGGGGAGCAGATGCGGAATGACAAAGGAGAATGGCAGATACAGATGCCGTCATGGTGAAGGAGAGCCCACTGGGGGCTTAAGGCCTGGGGGAGGGGGCAGGGTTTGGGCAGGTGGAGAAGAGGCAGGGAAGGCATCCCAGATGGCAGGACAGTGTGTGCGAAGGCCCGGAGGCCGAATGATGAGAGGGGCTGAGGGGGACGGAGCAGTCCCAGCCTCGCTCTGGCCCTGCCATCAGAGCAGCAGAATGAAACCGGCTGGCACTGCTACCGCTAAGAGCACAAATGAAGCAGATGTTCCTCTTCAAAACAGACTGCTCTAATCTTCAGCATTCAGCTCTAATGGCTCACCCAGGACATGACCAAATGAGGAAAATGCACAACGGAGCCAGCCTTTTGGAGTTTCTTTTCTGGTCTCCCCTCTGCTGGGTGAGCAGCAGGGCTTCCGGCCTCAGGCCTGGGCCTTGATGAAGGCAAGGCTCTGACAGGTGGGCTGGACGTAAACCTGGGTGGATGCCACCTACCGTCTGCTCAGCAGTGACAGGAAGCCATTCACCTGGCCTTTGCCACCGCTGGATGTCCCAGATGTTGGACTGTTGCATCCAGCTGAGGACACACATTCAAAGCAGAGATGGAGACCAAGACAGAGGTGTCAGGGGAGACAAAGCAAAGAAGATGTTTTCATAGTCACTAATGAGCCCGTGCACTGCAGCCGGTTCCGGCACCGCACTGTGCATCCGTGTCCCTGCTGCAATAAGATGCACTGGCAGGTGAGGTCGAGAGCCAGTGGGGTGTTATTAGAGGGAGATTCTGCAAGGCGGCTGAGGCACCAAGGCAAGCTAATCCCAGCTCCTAGAATGGGGTACTGGGAGGACAGCCAATCTGGATTTGGGTTTAATGGGACAGCAAGGTGTAGATGGTATCCAGTCAGTGGGGCTGTGCTCGAGTCCTGGTTTTGCCTTCAGCTGTCTGAGCAACAGACATTGGGCAAGACACTTTATTCCCTGGGACTCGGTTTCCTCATCTATCAAATGTGGGTAAGAGTAAGAAATGCCTCCTAGGACTGTGATTGGGATCAGATGAGACTGTGACGGTGATGTCTCAGTTATGAAAAGAAAAACTGTTTTTCAACAGCCTTTCCGTTCAGCACGGAGGATAGTGCCTAGAGCACAGCAGTTCACCCAGAAGAGCGAGTCCTGGCTTGAATGAACTCCTCTGGGTGGCTGCCCCTTAGAAGTCACCCTTGCCCCACCTTCCCACACCAGTAATGTTGACCAAACTTGCTCTCCCTGTGTCAGATATGACCACAGTTCCCCCAGAGGGTGTAAATGGCCTGACTGAGGCTACAGACCTGTATTTCCCAATTCGCCTCTCTGGGTGAGAGCTGGATCTGAATAACGCCCCCCCCTCTCCCCAAGAAGCATGCTGGTGGCATTCTGACAATTCCCAAGTGTCTGAGGAAAACCAGAAGTGCTTGGCAAAGCATACAAGTTACCTGGGCACTGGGCCCTTGCCAAAAAGCAGTGCCCAAGCTCAAAGTGATGAGAAGAGATGTACAGGGGTCAGCACTGCAGCTGTTTCCGGGCAACTGTGGAACTTTCTTCAACACCCAGAAGGGCAGAGCATGTCCTGCCTGGGCCTCAAGTTGTCCTAACCTCCTGTCACTCAACTGACACTTGCAGCCCTTAGGCAGCTCAGACACAGCTGAACCCTGCGTCTTCTAGCTCTTTCCTCGGTGTGATCCTTGGACTAGCAACATTAGCATCCATCACCTGGGCACTTGTTAGAAGATCCAGTATGCAAATAACTGGACTTCAGGAAGAGAGAACAGGATAGAGGCAGGTGCCCAGAAATAATGGAGCGAAATCTAGCTGAGCAGAGAAAGGAGGCAGGTCTTCAGAATGAAAGGGCTTGCTGAATTCCAGGCAAGATGAATTCTAAAAAGGCATCATCTGGGCATATTCCAGAGAAATTTCTGAACACCAAGGAGAGAAAGAACCTCTTATTAACTTGTAGTTTGAAAGACCCAGCTCCATACAAAGTAAGAGCATAGATTAGCATTGGGTTTTTCTTCTGCACACGGGGGCCTATCAGGCAATGGAATAACGTTTATAGCCCCTTGAGGAAGGGACTGTGATCCAAGAATCCCCGCCCCAACTGGAATGTCATTCTTAAGAAAGAGCAAACGAAATACACTCATGTAATCTGAGGAAATTATTTAAGAAACTGCCCTACCCAGTGAGGATAAAATGAGAAGAGAAGCCTTCAGATAAGGGGAAAGGAAGGGGAAAGAAGCTGGCCAGCAGCGAGTTTTAAGTGTGCTTTGTGTAAGAAACATCAAACAGTGAAAATGAAATTGATAATGCAGGATGAGCAAAGATATTACAGAGAAATGTAAATAACAGGAGGCGGGAATAGCAAGAGGAATATCGGACACAGAGGAATTCAAGGCCCAAAGCGTGGCAAAGAGGGACATGCTCATAGCCTTTACTTCAGTAACCAGATAACGAGAACCTCTGGGCACCAATGAATAAATATGGCAGGAAGGATGTCAAGCCAGGGCGTCTGAAAACGTAAGAGGAGCCCTCCGAACTCTAACTTTGGGGAACTTCACTCACCTCTTTTAGGATTTAACAAATCACACAGACAAAAAATAAGCCAAGATAAAAGAGATGATTGCAGATAATACAATCGGCAAATGAAGCACTTACAGAAACTGTGGTGGACTTGGCCATGAATAAAACTTTAATAATTTTCCGAAACACAGAGATGTTATGAATTATATTTTTTTACTATAATTTAATAAATCTAAAACTCTATAACCAAAAGATGACTCCCTTACAAAACTTAATCAAAACTAAAAATATATTATCTTAAAATTAATAAAAGTAAGATATTTTATATCGAAACCTATAGATAAAAATAAGATCTCAGAGGAAATTTTATAGTCTTAAAGTTTTTATGATTTAAAAAAGACTAATATTAAGTGTGAAGATTCAGAAAATTAAAAATAAAACCACAACACAATAAAATTAACCAAGAGAAAGTAAATGGGAATTAATGAAAATATAATGAAAAGTAATAATATAGAAAACAAAGGCCCAAGAGAAAAAAAATAGAAAAAATAATGAAAATTAAAAGTTAATTTGTTCAAAAACCAATGCAGTAGATTGGCGGAATTAAGAAGGGGGGAAAAAAGGAAAAGTTAAAATATAGCAGTGGGATTGATAAAGGTGATTTAACCACTGATTAGAAAAAATTAAATACATTTTCAGAAAATCATGTAAGCAACTCTTTGGCAATATACTTGGAACTATAGAAGGAACAGTTGGTTTTTCTGGCAAAAACATGAATTTCAAGAATTAACTCCAGGAGAAATAAGAAACCCAAGCAGATCAATTGTTACTGAACACATTGTAAGAGTTCAAGAAATTGCATTTAAATAGGAAGCAGATCCAGATGATTCAACTATTATATGTTTCACTTTCAAAGAAAGATAACCAATGATTAACACCATTATTCAAATTATTTCAGATTAAAGTATGTAAAGCTCAATAGGTTCACTTTAAAAAGTCAGCATAACTTGAACATAATAATAAAAAAAAGACCACTAGACGCCAATTGTATAGAATTATTAGAATAATTAGAATCACATTTTTAGCAAATTAAATCCAACAATGTATTTAAAAGATGGAGTACCAGGGAAGTATATCACTAAAATCCAGAGAAGGCAGGGTTTCCCTCCTGTCACCCTTATTCAGAATTGTGAGGCTCTAACTAATGAGACAAGGTGGAAGAGCAAATAAGTTCTATAAATATTAAGACACAAAATCATTTTTATTTGCAGATAATATTAGGTAACTGAAAAATCCAGACTCTACTAAAGAAAATAATTAGAACAAATAAAAGAATGTGGTAAGGTGGCTGGATAGGATTTAATATATAATAAAGAGTGGCTTTTCTCTTTTCAGCAACATTTAGTTAGAAATGAGGGAGAAAATCTCATTCACATGAGCTACAAAACTGTAAAATATTTGAGGCTACATTTACCAAGAAGGGTATAACACCAATATGAAAACATAACCATAACATTTTATTGAAGGGCATAAAACTAGCTCCGAATAAATGGAAAGATAGACCACGTTTCTGGAAAGAATCATTAACATAATAAAAGTGCAATTTTTCCAAATTAATACATAAATTTAATGCTGCTCCATTCTGCCACAATGGCTTTTCTTTTTAATTAGACACGATGATTTTAAAATTCTCATTGAAGAATAAATGTGCAAGAATTACCAAGATATTTCTGAGAAAAGAACAATGAATAAGGAAGGAGAAATCATCCTACCAGATGTTACAACTTACTCTAAAGCTACTGTAATCAAAATAACCAGATGCGGCACAGGGATAGACATAGACATAAGCTCTCTGATATACAAGGTTCTTGATCCAAGACTCTTTTTTTCTTTTGCTGATTGTTTCTGTCATTTAAAAAAAAATTTACATGAGGGCTCATTCCCCCCTCTCAGGAGCCCACCTGTCTTTTCCCTTCCTCTTCTTGCCCCACAAGCACGCATCTCCTAAGCTCTAAGGGACCCCAGGAGACTCGCAACCAGGGGAGCACTGGGCTGTGGCAGCTCACCCCAGGCTAAACCCCTGGCCCTGTCTCCAAGGCCCCCTTTCCTCTGACTTCCCAGTGAGCCAAAGCAGCCCCTCTAGGCCCTCTCCTGTTGCTTCTTCTATCCTAAGCCCTTCCTTGTTTCACTGTCTCCAGCTTTAATAAACATGCTCTCAAAATCAACTAAGTAAATAAATAATAAAAAAATAAAATTAATTTACATGAGAACATTTTAACCCTAGTCTTTCCCATGTGTTGTCAGATCATGAGCTCACATTCTTTTTTGGAGCTGCACAGTGTTACCAACACATAAGTGCTTCTTCCACATCTCAGGTGGCCAGACCAAGAGAATATTCAAGACAGTCACCTCCCTGTGCTCAGAGAAAACCACGCGGGAGCATCCCAGCAGCACACATACCAAGAAACGGAAAATCCCTGCATACTGGTGGGAAAAGCTTTGGTTGATCAGGATCTTCTGCAGCTGCTGTGGGTTCTGTGTCAAGGAGCCCAGCGCTGCCAGGAACCAGCAATCTCCTGTGAGGGTACACAAGGTGACTGTGAGAGGACCACTGGACACACCTGGAAGCCCTACTCCATGCATTTGGCAGGAGTTTGTTACCAGAGTTCACATACATCCTTCTGAATAATGCATTTTTTTTTTTCCATCTGAGAGAGAACTGGAAGGAGGATTCAGTGGGGCCAGTTCTAAGATAGAGGAGGGGCTGGTGGTGACGGCGGGGGGTGATGATGGTGATGGTGATGTTGGGGGTGATTGATGTGGTGGTGATGGTGGGGGTGAGTGATGCGGTGGTGATGATGGGGGTTGATGGTGGTGGTGGTGATGTTGGGGGTGAGTGATGTGGTGGTGCTGGTGGGGGTTGGTGATGGTGGAGGTGATGGTGGGGGTGAGTGATGTGGTGGTAGTGGTGGTGGTGATGGTGGGGGTTGATGATGGTGGTGGTGATGGCAGGAGTGATGGTAGAGGTGATGGTGGTGATGGTGGTTTGAGGGAGGTCAGGAGAGCCCCAGCCAGGCTTTGGCAGTGCTGGTGGGCCAACTTGTCTTCTGATTCTCATTTTGCCAAAGGTGCCCAGAGCTCAAGTTACAGCATCTTTTGTTGTCAGCATTGGTGACAATGGTGCCCTGTACAACTTCAGAAAACAGATTTGTGTTTTTCTTTGCTAATACTTGCTCAGCCCCCACCTGTGTCAGGACCCCTCTAGCCCACACAGGTGTTCTCTCCTCTTCCCCCTTGAGGGACAGATGGCCTTGAGTTCCTCTTTGGATGCCATGAGAGCCCTTTGAGCATGAGCATCATCCCTTTCTACTGAGTCTTCTCTCCTTTATCTTCAACACAATCAGTCATCTGAATGCCACTTCGTGTCAGGCACTGTGATGGGTGCAGAAGCCACAAAGATGCCCTCTGAGAGGTCCCGTCTTCAGTTAGGAGAAGCTCTAACAGGAGGATTATTGGCTACAGAGGGCTGTCCTCTCCCCAACACTGAGAACAATCCATGCAGGCTTCTATCAACTTGGCCCAAGACACTGTAATTCCATCAGATGAAGTCCAGGTGCAGGCATAACTTATAAGTTGACATTTTAAGGACATAGAGTTTGTTCTCAGAAGAGTTGCTGCCCAATTTTGCTGTCTCCCAACTCCCTGTCCACTGTCCCCTCCCAGCCAGTTCCGCCCCTCCACTCCTGGGCTTCTGGAGGTTCCTCTTGATCATTCCTGATACTGCCCAGGGGCCTCCTTCAAGGCAAGCCCTCCTCTCCCCTGTCCACACTGCTCAGCTCTTAGCAACAACTCTGCCCTATGGCTGTCTGATAGGTGGGAAGGAGTCAAACAGCCCTGGATTCAAACCCAACTCTGTCACCTACCGCTATGTGACATGAAGAAAATTATTATACCTCTTGGACCCTTTGTTTCCACATATACCTATAGAGTGGGGATGTTACAAGTCGTAAAGGAAACAGCACATGCACAGTATCCAGCACAGCCGTTGCAGAAACTCAGTGAACACTTGCTTCCCCTTTCTTGGTCTCTTTCCTTCCATCTTCCTCTCCACTCAGTGTTCACTCTACACCCTGTGTCCATTTTCTCCCTCTCTTCGATAATGCCTCACCCCAAATGGCCCTGCACAATCATTGCCAACACGCAGGCTGCAGAACTGGACGTGGGCAGGCCATGGAACTGTCCACAGTTGCACTGAGGGGGCTAGACTTGCCCTCTCAGCAGCGAGGGCAGAGGCCTGAGGCTCCGGATGGGCACCACCCTCCACCCCTCCCTATCTGGAGGATGACTTTGAGCAGTCTGTCCTGATCCAAGGCCGGAAGAGAAGATGCTGAGTTCTTACCTGCATCTCCTTGTTGGATGTCAAATCTGCTCGCACCTTCCAGGATGAAGTGAGGCTCTGATCTACCCATTAATAAATCCTTAGGAAAGAGGGAGAAAAGCCATGAGCATCTTTCATTCCTCTATGTCCCAGAGTGGTACCCAAGCCATCACTCTCGTTGTCCTTGAGAAGTAGAGGTTAATTCTTAAATAGTGCCTAAAAGTTCCTCTCATTCTTCAGGTTTTATTGCTCTCAGGAAGGAGGATGTCATGGGGCATATGTGTAACTGACGAGACAAGAAATAAATACGCAAGCACACTGCATGAAGACAGGACATAAATAAGGTCTCAGGATCCTTCTACCAGATACCCGGCCATCCCGGTCCTAACAAGCAGCGTTTTATTAAGAGGTTATAAACAAGAAAAAAAAAATTGGATACATTTACTAGAGGCAACTTTTATAAACATAATAAAGCTGTCCTTGTGGAATGTCCTCTTGGAAGTCAGCATAGGCCTTCTGGGCTCCAGGTTCAAGTGCAGCCAGGTGCTGTGCAGGATGCAGGACGTGCATTGCTCAGATCTTTGTCGGCTCCCTGGCTAACTCACAGACTGGTTCTGGAGGACCCCAGGCCCCTCATCTTGGGTGCTGTTACTCAGTGCCCAGTTCTCCACCTCCAACACTCACAGTGCCTGCTGGCTGCACAAAGGGGTTGCTGGAAGATTCGGCCATGCTGCAATGTCTGGGAGAATTTGGGGAGCTCGCAGCAGACATGAAGTGGTGAGGGTTCCTGAAGGGGCTCCCCAGGCCCTTTGGGGAAACACTGGGCCAAAGGTCTGGCTCCTGCCCCAGCCCTAGCCGCCTCTAGGTTTGCCCCCTGCTAGCAGCCTGTGGGATTTTGCTCAGCACATTCTCCGTGCAGTTCTGCCTGGATTTCCATTGCATACGTTTGCAGAATTTGGTAATTGTGCCTGTATCATTTCTTTTCACATTGACAAATAAGTCCCTGGAGAGCAGGGCTGCAAAGTGGAAATAGATTCATTTGTTCAACAGCCATGAGTGTACAGAGTCCGTGCCTTGTGAGACCTGCCGGCCCTTTGTAAACTATCAGCTTCCTGGTGGAGCTGCCAAGGGGCAAGCAAAGGTGTGCATGTTTGTCTGCAAACACTGAGACCCAGCTAGCCGTGAGGGGCAGTTACTCACTGCACCTCCTTCCCCCAGCCTGCCCACAAACAACTGGCTTCTCAGATGGCAGAGAGGTGCACTAGGCCCAGGCCCCAGGGTGGAGACGCCAAGCCCAAACCTCTGCTGTCCCCATGGCTGGGCACGACTTGGGGGTCTTTCCTGACACAAGCAAGTAAGGCAGAAGTCTCTGCAGAGCCATGAAGGCAGCAACTCTTCCAGTTTCAACGGGGCGCTTCAAGGACTTTAAATGTCCCCTCCCCTTCTACTGGGAAAGGAAGTAAAGGTCCCAGTGGAGGCCTGCTGTCAGTGAGCAGATGCTAGACCCTCCATTCATGGGAACTGAGAAAGAGGCTGGAGGCCATGCAGTTATTGGACCAGGAACTAAGTCAAGGTTGCTCAGCTTTCTCGACCCACCCCCAGGGCAGCTCTTTTTCACTGTTTTTTCCTGATTCCCCCCAGTAATGGGCAGAGGAGAGATGTGTGTGTGTGCTTGAGAGTCGGGTCAGGCAGACCTGGTGTGGAATCCTGCTCTGCATTGCTCCCTGGGTGACCCCGAGCAACTTCCTTTCCTTTGCAGAGCCTCAGTTTCCTCGTGTGTAAAATGGGAGACTCCAATGATAAAGTGATCGAGGCACTGGCTGCTGTTATCAAACCCTTGCTGAGGGCTAGGTGCTTTATTCCCGGACTGCCTCCCAGCAGGCCTGCAAAGCAAGAGCCCTTCCATTTTACAAATGAGGAAGGAAGTAAAATATTTAGCACAGCGCCTGGCAGAGTATATGTTCAATAAATATTGATTCCCTCCTTCTGCAGTATTTGCAAAATTAAAAAAGTCATATTCATAGACAAACCCAGAACCTCAAGTCCATTCATTATTAAACAACATAGAATAAAAACATGAATTAAGTAGTCGACTCACAGATGTTAGAAAGAAAAAGACAAAAAGAGCCTGGCAAATATAGGAGGAAAGAAGTGATAAAAGAGCACAATTAGTGAATTATAAAACAGAAAAATCAATAGAGCAAGTAAATTGTTCTGTTTGGAGAGAAGGCTTGCGCAGACCCAACCTTTGGCAAATGTGGTAGAGAAATCCAAAAAAAAGCAGTAAAAATGGGGCTTTAGCAATATATAAGCATGATGTAAGATTCTATACTAATCCATTTAAAAGTACTAATGATTTTCTGATGAAAATTAATATTGCCCCAAACCATTCAAGTTAGTACCTAACCTGAAAAGATCGATAACCTTGGAACACCTCCCTAACATCTCTGTAAAGGCCGAGTGGAAGGCCTGAGAACCAGGGGAGCAGATGGGGTAATTCACCATGATTTGCCTGCTGGGTTGTCTCAAGCTTTCAAGGAATAGACAATTCCAGTGTCGCTTATAGCTTCAGTGTTAAAAAAAAAAAAGGGGGGGGAGGAGAATTCTGCCACCATTTATTCTAAGAAGCCAGCATAGCCTGGAGGCCTAACCGGAGAGAGAAAACACAGAAGCACACACATACTAGACTGATCTCACATATGAAAACACATGGAACAAAATCCCCAGCCAATGAATCTGCAATAAATGGTAAGACTAACCCACTATCAAATAGGGTTTTCAATAGACATTCAGGACTCCTGGGTGGTTTCATATCAGGATATCTCATAATGTAAAATAATATTTACATGGGCAAGACAGGAGACCATTTATACCGTCCCATGAAGGCATCTGATAAATGCACAACTTCCTCTGATTTACCCAAGTAATAAAAATTGAAATTAAAAAACCAAATGTTAGCTAATTAGGTGAATCTGTGCGAGTGTCTGCAGGTGATGTCAGCATGTGAGCTGGTGGACTCAGTAAAGCAACTGCCCTCCCCAGTGTGGATGAGCCTCGTCCAGTTCATAGAAAACAGAACAAAAGGGAAGGGAAGGGAGAGTTTGCCCTTCTCTGGCTGACAGCTGCGTGGGACATGCATGCTCTCCTGTCCCCAGATTGGGAATGACACTGTCTGCTCCCCTGGTTCTCGGGCCTTCCTTCTCAGGCTAAGCTACACCACTGGCTTGGCTGGGTCTCCAGCTTGCAGATGGCAGATGTGGGACTTCTTAGCCTCCATAATCATGTGAGCTGATTCGTCATAGTAAATCTCTCCACAGGATATATCGATCTATTTCCCATTAGTTATATGCCATAGGACACATATACCTCCTATTGGTCTCTTTCTCTGGAGAACCCTGACTAATACAGAAGCCATCATCAATAATCAAACTAAATATTCTTAGGAACTTAGTTCTGAGCTGTGGAGCTCTGTCTCAATGCAAAGTTCGGGTCAATCTCTGTTCTATTAGGTATGACAGAAACTCATGTAAAGCAAGAGCCCCTGGAATCTTAGAAAATACCCTCTCTGGAGTGGCACCAAAGCCAGCACCCTCTGGCATCATTTCTGGAGCACTCTCTTCCAATATGACATCATTTGGTCTATTTTCAACAGCGATCCCTGCCTTCTTTTCCAAGGCTGCTCCTGCAAGAGGGAACGCCAGGTTTGGCACATTGACATTAGAAACAGGCCCTTTCAGCGGGTGGCCAGGGTTCAGGCTGGGCCAGGTGGCAGCGTGACTCCCTCTTCTATTTTTGCTACAGAGATTGGCTTTATTGGCATCAAAGTTCTTTGGCTCAACGGCAACTGGCTGTTGGCACGTTCACTTTCTGTCGCCTTCTGTTACTTGTTGCTTTTACAACCTACACTCATAGCTCCACTTTGTTAACCCTTTCGTTTTGGGAAGAATTCAGTTTGGTTCCAAGGTGAATCATTTCTAGTGAAGGATCCTTTTAGACACTCTGCTCTGGCTCCTGGGAAGAAGAAAGCTGTTGCCTGGGCAGGCGATGCTGCGTTCTGGGATGGCTCGGGCCAGAATCCACAGTGGGGCTGGGTGCTGAGCTCCAAGCACCCATCAGACAATATGGTTTGGGCCCATAGCCCATTCTTCAGTTAAGAAGTGAAATGTTTTTCAGTAAAGAATGGGGACAAGGGTGAAATTTTAATCCGTCATTCTGACATACATTGGTGACTCTGCTGTGCTCTCCAATAAGGTATATTAAATTAAATTAATTTAAATGGAAGAAAAGGAAAACTTCAGAACCTCGGTCACACAACCCACATTCCAAGTGCTCAGGAGCCACATGTGACTAGTGGCTGCTGTACTGCCATGGCAATGAAATGAAATGTTATATGTAAAGTGCTTAGATTAACACCTAGCAGTTGTACACACTTAAGAAATGGGATTTATTATTATAACCCATGAAATAAAAAGAACAAAGGAGACAAAGTAAAAGAAGACACATGGAAAGCTCTAGAAAGTACTACACAAATCCAAGTACTGCCAGTTGCGATAAGGGACATAAAGACCTATGGCATATTCACATATACATTTTAAAAGAGGTGCTGGAATTAAAAATGAGCCCCTGGAAGAGGAGGAATAGTACTGGACTGCATTTGGCCCCTAGTGCCTCTATTTCAGGTTCCTGGCATGATTCTGTGTAAGCCATTTCACTCTTGTTTGCCTAAGTTTCTCCTTGAACCCAAAAGACACCACAAGTTGAGATGCTGCTGGAATTAATATGATGAGAAACTCTCAATCTCTTCTAAATAGATGTTATAAATTCTTAAACACTATAAATATGGTCTCACATCTATTGCCTAGCACCTTATGAAAAAAGAAAAAACACTTTCAAAAATAATCTCAGTCTGTGAAAATAACCAATGGCAAAAACATTTAACCCTTCCAAACTTCAGACAGAGTTCTCTGTTCAGTTGTCCTTAGGAGGCAGAAGAGAGTCACTGTTGGGCACTTGTCACCTCTGATTGGGAAGGTGGATCCTAGAAAGCTGGAGCACCCTGTCTTTCCTTTTTTTAAATGTTTCTATTGATTTCAGAGAGAAGAAGGGAGAGGGAGAGAGAGAGAGAAACATCAGTGATGAGAGAAAGTCATTGATCGGCTGCCTCTTGTACTGCGCCCTACTGGGGATTGAGCCTGCAACCCGGGCATGTGCCCTAACCAGGAATTGAACCGCAATCTGGTTCACAGGTTCCCCTGTCTATCTTAAAGCAACACCCAAGCCCCACCTGATCCCCACGAACTTTCTCCTTCCCCAAGGCTTCAAGTCTGTCCTGAGTTAGGGCAAGAGCTGGCACCTTCAGCATTCTGTGTCTTGTTCTGTGTCACCAGAAAATGCCTTTTCTGTATGACCTAACTTGACTTTACTGAAAGAGTTCAGTAAAGTGCTTGCATTTAGTAAGTACTCAGTTATTCTTGCTGATATTATAATCGTTAGCTTACTAGACATTCTATTATTTTCTCTTGTTTCAGGTTCCACCGGCTGCTTTTGGAAGCATGAACAGGAGATCTGAGCATCAGGGCACTCAAAGGGGTCCTTACCTGGGTCTTTCTCATCCACAGTAGCCCTGATGAGATAATGAAAATGTTAAGTGGGCTGAGAAATGTCCTCTGGAGCTTCATGCTCTGAAACTGAGATGGTTCTAGAAAAACCAACAGGGCTCCCCTTGCTGCAAGTTGGAGTTAGTGACCATGTGCTAGGGTAAGGGACTCAGAAGAGTGGGAATGTTGCCCTGAAATATCTTCCTAATTTTACAGTTGATGTCTGAGAGTCTTTTGTAGGTGATCAGGCCTTTGCAAGATTGGAAATACAAATAAAAGTGAGAGAAGGAAGTCAATTATTTAAATTCATCCTATTGTATAAGTGACTGACATGGTATCTTCCCTTTGAGTCAATTCTAACAGAAAAAAAGGGAAAGAAAATAAAGACAGTGGTACCCAAACAGAATAAAGTGTGGTGACAGACAGGCTCACTTATGGAGACAGAAGAGACCCCAGCAACCAACTACCACACTCTTCATACCTGTCTTCTCATGTCACCTAGTGACGTGTTCAGTGCTAGAGCTGGGCTAGACCTCATGGCTCCTGGTTCCTGATACAGGGTCTTTCCATCCCACTGAGGATGCAACACTGTGGCTCAGGGTCCGCGTGAATTTCACTCTCCTTCCAGTTTGGTTTGGGTCCCCAGCCCCCGGCAAACCAGGTCTCAGGCCGGCCCACCCTCCTTTCAGTGTGGGGGGGGGCCACTGCAGGAGGCTCAGAGGGCCCAGGAGCTGGGTTTGTGCCTAAGGGACTCACTCACCTTTGGGCGCTTCCATTGCAGGCTGGAGAAGCGTCTTCCCTGGAGCAGCTGTGGGCCTATGGAAGAAATCTCGGCGGGGAATATCTCATCCTCAAACAGGAGGCCTCGGCTTAGACAATAATCCCGCAAGGAGTTGAAGTCCTGGTCCTTGAACCTGATGACTTGGGTCTTGGATAGAGCCTCCTGATTGTGTGCCATGACTCTCCTTGGAAGACCTCCAATGTCTTTTCCTTCTGGGGAGAAAAAAAGATATTTTTAGGGATGAAGTGGGTCAAGTCCTTCACATCATTGGATGTGAGCCCTGAAGGGGTACTTGGATGTCCACCCCCCACCCACTTACAAGTGAGGGGACTGAGACTTAGATCAGTGCTGTCCTTGGTGACACAGCCAGTTAGTACGTGAGCCCAGACTTGAACCCAGTCATTCTTCCTCTTGGTTCAGTCTTCAATCTGCTGTACCAAACAGCCTCTCAGTGTGCTCTATGTGCACCAGAGACTATGGGGTATTTGCACATTAATGAATATTTATTGAGTCCTGACCTTGTGCCAAGCGTTTCTCTGAATGCTGGCAATCCAAAGAAAATACAACATGATCTTCACCCTCCAGGCCCTCAAATCAAGTGGGGAAGACAGATTAGACATTTCAACAACAACATTCAACATTCTATCATTCAGCAGAAACTGTCTAATTAAAAATGTGTACAAAGCCCTGTCGACAGGGAGGAGCTATGAACTGGCAAGGAGAGTCTGGGAGGACTCTCCCACAGGCAGCGACCTTTGCATTGCGCCTTGAAGGAAGAAGAATTTGCCAGGTAGAGAAATGGTAGGTATTAAAACCAAGTCCCTCTAGATGCCCTGAGTAGCAAGTGCAAGGAGGCTCAGGAGTTGGATTGTAAAGGTCACGGGTGTTAGAGGAAATTGGAGGGGCCGGAGGGTCACTGGGGTGGGGGCTGGGGATAGGGAGTGTTGGCAGAGATGGCCAGGAAGGTAGGTGGGTATTAGTGCATGTAGACTCAGGGAAAGCTCCTGGCCTGAAAATCAACATCTGTAAGCAGAGAGCAGGGAAAGACCTAAGAAAGCGGCTGGTCACTCCAGTCTCACAATTAATTGAGTTTCTTAAGGGAAATTTACATGAGGCATGTCTTGGGTGGCTGCGAGACAAAATGCACCCCTGTGCCAACTGGCAGGCTCCAAAGAATTATACAGGGCAAAGGGGGGACAGTCAGGTACCGGTATGGGTTTGCTACCAGGTACAGGAAATTACATGCTTGACCAGGTCAGGACAACAAGCTGTTCCAGGAGCCAGCTCATAGCAGGAAGCGGCGGATCGGTGCTGATTTATATCAGAATGAACATAATCACGGCCAGATAGTGTCTAAGGGAGGTCTGTGGAAAGCAACCTCCCTTATGGCCCGGATTCGGCTTGAGGGACGGACAATGGTCACGTCATGGAGCAGTAGTCTCCCCCCCGCCACAGCTGGAAAGCTGGACAGCTGGACTGAGACATGCTTTCTGCCTCGTGAGCACGGTGGGGCCATGAAGCGGTGGGCTGCGATCAGGTCTGCATATAGAATTGTGGAGCAAGCTGGAGGCCACATGGGGGGCTGGGGAGGGACTGGAAGCTGCTGCATTGGTCCGTGGGGGAGAGAGTGTTGGAGCGCTAATAGTGAAAATGGTGGAGAAACAGGTTCCAGAGTCATTTTATAGGTAGAACCAAAGGATTCGATGATGAATTGAATAGGGGAGGGAAAGGAAAAGGCAGTGTGGTGAACATTCCAATGGGTTTTGTTTTTTTTAAAATATGTTTTTATTGATTTATTTTTTTTAGAGAGAGAGGAAAGGAGAGAGACAGAGATAGAAGCATCTATTGGCTGCCTCCTGCACGCCCTCGCTGGGGATGAGCCCACAACCCGGGCATGGGCCCCGACTGGGAATCGAACCAGGGACCTCTTAGTGCATGGGTTGATGCTCAACCACTGAGCCACAGTGGCCAGGCTCAAAGGGGTTTTGAAGTTTGCTTCCGGCGCTCACCACCTGTTCTGCACCACGGAGTGAGGATTCAAGCCTGTGAAGTTATTTCCCCACCAGTACGGCTTAATAGTACCAACTTCCCAAGGTTTGTTGTGCTGTTAAGTGACCTAACATACCAGCAGAGTGACTGCCATACAGTAGGCACTGAATAAATGGTGGTGATCTAATTTTGCTAAAGAGATATCAAAGAAGTCTGGTTTTCTGTTGTTGCTGTTGTTCAGGAAGCTATAAAGGTATAACTGGCAAAATAGGCCTCATTTCCTCCATCAGCAAGGCAAGTTGATGTCGATCTGAATTCTGAATCCACGCTTACTAATTGCGGGGCTTGGAAAACCTCCTTTGACCTTAAAGCAGTGCTTTTAAGTTTCTTTGACCAGAGTCTGTCTAAGTGGCACAAAAGACCCCAAGGTCCACATGTCCTATCCATTCCCACTTCACAGTGAAGAAGGAATCAGGTGATGATAAAAAACAAGAGAGGAACGAATATAAACAACTCATAGAAAAAACATGCGAACTCAAAATAACAGCAGTTTCCTTATAGTTAACTTATAATAATAGTGTGCTGCAACTTATTTAAAACGCAAATTCATAGGTAGAATATCATCTGTGAAGTGGCACAGTCCCCACATATTTGCAGGGTATTATGCACACAATTGTCTAGCAAGGGAGGTAAGAATTTATATTTGAACTGTTAGGTTGAACCACATGAAACTGTCATTTTTGTAGGTCAAAAATGGTTGCCTGGAGTCAGTTTCGTATGGTTTAACCTAAGGTAAAAATGGTCGAATATAGGCAATTTCATTTGGTTTAGCCTACTAGGATATTTCAAGGTAGTTCTTGAAAAATATGTCACTATACCTCACCACTCTCTATCGGGTTAAGAGGAGAGCCACAGCAAATAATATAGTGATAAAGCTGAAATAACAGTAAGGTGTCATTTAAGAGCAGGAAAACAGTAATAGGTTTGATTGTCAACTCAAGGCAAAGGCAGCGATGCCTGGTGATGGAGAGTTGTAAAAATTTTGGGTCTTCAAACTATGCACATGCCTGGGACCTGTGGAGCCAACACAGCATTGCCAAGCCATCCGCCTCTCAGCGAAATATTAGATGAGTGTATGCAATATACTCCAGCAATGAGCTCATTTTAGCTTACGAAAACCAAATAGTAGTTCCCCTTAATTACACAATTACGGGACTGCTAGGAAGCAGCCCTTAATTGTACATAAAAATGAGCCTAAAGAATTTGGCTGGACTTCTCCATCAGAATCTTGCAAAGGCCCTACGTTTGGAGATCAGTTCCCAGGCCTTCGGCTGGGCCCTGACTGCCTGCTGACTTTAGGAACTGGCTGGCTCCAGGAATCCCATTTTAAGACTCACTTTCCAGCCCAGCTGGGCGTGGCTCAGCGGTTGAGCGTTGACCTAGGATCCAGGCAATCAGGGTTCGATTCCCAGTCAGGGCACATGCCCGGGTTGTGGGCTCGATCCCCAGTTGGGGGCGTGCAGGAGGCAGCCGATCAATGACTCTTTCATCATTGATGTTTCTCTCTCTCTCTCTCCCTCTCCTCTCCTCTCTCTGAAACCAATAAAGATACATTTTTTTAAAAAAAGACTCACTTTCCACATTTGTAACATGGAGGTGGTGATAATATGCATGACGTAAAGTTGTGAGACTCANTTTAAAAAAGACTCACTTTCCACATTTGTAACATGGAGGTGGTGATAATATGCATGACGTAAAGTTGTGAGACTCAGGTGAAACCATGCTTGTCGAATACTTAGCACTGTGACTGGTAAAGAGAAAGCGATCAATAATGATGGTTATTAGTATGATTATCACCATTTTGACAAGAGGACTGTGCAGAAGCCCCCCTCTCTAACATGAGGACTTGCTCTTATGAATGACAGGCTGGGCCCAGGGGGTCTGCAGGGGTGAGGGCCAGGGCTGAGGCAGATCCACGCTCTCAGCTCTGCTGTGGCTCTTCACCCACTGAGCGCCCGGGTGGACGGAGAAGGGCTCTGGGGGGCACGGCAGGCCCAGGTGTCTGCTCTGGAGGGGGAAGAATCTTGATGAGGAAAGAGAAGGCAGGAAGGAAGGGGAGGCCCCCACACCTCACGCCTACCAGGTTCACCTTTCTCTCTGAATTCCTTATGGCTTTGTCAGGGAACAAGCCATAGATTCACTTAACAATTTTTTTTTTAATTTTTCAATTACAGTTGGCATTCAATACTATTTTACATTAGCTTCAGGTGTATAGCATAGTGGCTAGACATTTATATAATTTACAAAGTATTCTCCCTGATAAGTCTAGTACCCATCTGGCACCACACGTAGCTGTGACAATATTATTGGCCATGTTCCCTGTGCTGCACTTGGCATCCTCGTGACTGTTCTGCAGCTACCAGTCTGTACTTCTTAATCCCTTCACCTTTTCCACCCCTCCTCTCTGGCAACCGTCAGTCTGTTCTCCAGGTCTGTGCAGACTCACTTTCTCAGGGGGCAGGATCTACAGAACCTGACATTTCACTTTTGTGTGCAGCAGAAAAGACAAACCAATCTTCCTGCCTATCACTTTGGGGAGGGCTTTCTGGCTTATGTCTTTTCTTCTCTATTCTACTTGCCTCACTTTGCAAGATAAAAAAGGCAGAAGACTCAGCTGCCTTCATAAAAAAAGAGAGCTGGAAGGTCTACCTGATATTCAGGATAAACATCTGTCTTGCTGCTGGGTTATCTTTTGTGTCGAGCAAGAAAAATGGCACAGGAAGAACTAAAAAAAAAAATGGCAAAAAGAGTTGATAAAAAGATCTTAATGCGAGAAGCTGCGTGAACTAATGAATCAAGACTCAGAGCTCGGACGGGAGGCAGGGGAGAGGCGAGCTGCAGGCCCTGCAGCTTGTTCCCCCTCGGTGTCGATGAAATGAGTTTGAGTCAGTCCTTCCCTGTGTCTTCTGCTGAGTTGGGTGACTTTCTTAGTCTGCTTGGGCTGCAAAAAATACAACAGACTGGGAACTTAAACGAAAGACATGTATTTCCTGGCAAATCCGGAAGCTGAAAATCTAAGATCATGATGCCAGCATGGTCAGGCTTTGGTGAGGACTCTCTTCCTGGCTGACAGACAGCCTCCTTCTCACTGTGTCCCCACATGGCAGAGAGACTGAGAGTTTTTCTCTTTCTCTTCTTATAACAACAAAAAATTTTTTTCAAA